CCCACAAGCCTATTTGGTGAAAAAATGAAATTTCTTTAGAGACCTTTTTTCTTGCAAATTCCAACTATATGGCGTTCCTCTCGGTCATACGATTCCAACGCAACCTCCCTTCCACTCATTGGCCATCGGTGCAATGAGATACTGCACTTTAAGCCGAACTTTTCGTGACCCACAAGCCTATTTGATGAAAAAATGAAATTTCTTTAGAGACATTTTTTCTGGAAAATTCCAACTCTATGGTGTTCCTCTCGGTCATACGATTTTTACTCAACCTCCCTTCCACTCATTGGCCACCGGTGCAATGAGATATTTCACTTTAAACCGAACTATTCGAGACCCACAAGGCTATTTGATGAAAAAATGAAATTTCTTATAAGAGCTTTTTTCTTAAAAATTCCAACTCTGTGGCGTTCTTCTAGGTCACACTATTCCAACTCAACCTCCCTTCCCCTCATTGGCCATCGGTGCAATGAGAAATTGCACTTTAAACCGAAATTTTCGTTAGCCCACTAGCCTATTTGGTGAAAAAACGAAATTTCTTTAGAGACCATTTTTCTTGCAAATTCCAACTCTATGGCGTTCCTCTCGGTCATTTGATTCCAACGCAACCTCCCTTCCACTCATTGATCATTGGTGCAATGAGATATTTCACTCTAAACCGAACTTTTCGTGAGCCCACAAGCCTATTTGGTGAAAAATGAAATTTTTTTAGAGACCATTTACCTTCAAATTCCAACTCTATGGTGTTCCTCTCGGTCATATGATTCCAACGCAACCTCCCTTCCACTCATTGGCCATCGGTGCAATGAGAAATTGCACTTTAAACCGAACTTTTCGTGAGCCCACAAGCCTATTTGGTGAAAAAATGAAATATCTTTAGAGACCTTTTTCTTTCAAATTTCAACTCTATGGCGTTTTTCTTGGTCATACGATTCCAACGCAACCTCCCTTCCCCTCATTGGCCATCTGTGCAATGAGAAATTGCACTTTAAACCGAACTTTCCGTGAGCCCGCAAGCCTATTTGTTGAAAAATTGAAATTTCTTTAGATACCTTTTTTCTTGCAAATTCCAACTCTATGACGTTCCTCTCGGTCATATGATTCCAACGCAACCTCCCTTCCACTCATTGGCCACCGGTGCAATGAGATATTTCACTTTAAACCGAACTGTTCGTGACCCACAAGGTTATTTGATGAAAAATGAAATTTCTTTTAAGAGCTTTTTTCTTGCAAATTCCAACTCTATGACGTTCCTCTCGGTCATATGATTCCAACGCAACCTCCCTTCCACTCATTGGCCACCGATGCAATGAGATATTTCACTTTAAACCGAACTGTTCGTGACCCACAAGGCTATTTGATGAAAAAATGAAATTTCTTTTAAGAGCTTTTTTCTTGCAAATTCAAACTCTATGGCGTTCCTCTCGGTCACACGATTCCAACGCAACCTCCCTTCCCCTCATTGGCCATCGGTGCAATGAGAAATTTCCTTTTAAATCGAACTTTTCGTGAGCCCACAAGCCTATTTGATGGAAAAAAATGAAATTTCTTTAGAGACCTTTTTTCTTGCAAATTCCAACACTATGGCGTTCCTCTCCGTCACACGATTCCAACGCAACCTCCCTTCGAGTCATTGAACACCGTTACAATGAGATATTTCACTTTAAACCGAACTTTTTCGTGAGCCCACAAGCCTATTTGGTGAAAAAATAAAATTTCTTTAGAGACCTTTTTCATGCAAATTCCAACTCTATGGCGTTCCTCCCGGTCATATGATTCCAACGCAACCTCCCTTCCACTCATTGACCATCGGTACAATAAGATATTTCACTTTAAACCGAACTTTTCGTGAGCCCACGAGCCTATTTGGTGAAAAAATGAATTTTTTTTTTTTTTTTGTAGAAAGATTGACGCTAGTGCGTCTAATTCATTATTGTAATAAAACGGTCCTGGGAAATCCCCATTACATCATGAAAGAGCCAGTGTCTAAGACCGACTTCGTACACATCGAATGAATGTGTACCAAAAGAATAACAGTGACAAAAAATGCTTGTTAGTCATTAAGCGATCGTGCATCACCTGCCACAAAAAATGCTTAACTATGTTTGGTCCCTTCCATTTCCATAGTTTAGTCCAGCTTTGATCATCATCAGCCTCATCCAACCCTGCAGCAAGTGCATAGGCCGATTTGAGTCTAAACCTCCCATCACGTTCCATTGCCCATATGGTTTTGTCCTCGCCAAGATGTGCATTCGGAACTTCTATGCCTGCAATCAGATTAAGAATGTCATCAGGGAGGAGTGGTTTGAGTCGGTTCCAGTCCCACTCACCTTCTTCAGTAGCCCATGCTGCCACTGGTGAGTTCCTTTCAGTGGGTGTCAGGTCGCCAAGGAGGAAATCTTCAAGTTTGAGATCACAGTCAATCCATGGATGAGACCAAAAACTTGTAGACTCCCCATTCCTGATGCTCCAGCAACAGCCACTTTTCATCAGAGGCATTGCTTTGACAATCGCCTTCCACAAGTTTGAATGATTACTCTTCTTCATAGAGGTAATGGCACCATCTTTATGCTTAAAATACTTCCCTTGTAGGACCTGCACCCAAAGCTCAGAATCGTTGTTAAGTATCTGCCAAGCCAACTTGATCATGTATGCCATGTTCAAGTTTCTGGCAGATCTGAGGCCCAGACCACCTTGGCTCTTAGGCTTACAAATAGTGTTCCAAGAGACCAGGTGGGTCTTTCTTTTACCCTCCTGCTCTCCCCAAACAAACCTCCTAATCTTTTTGTCAATTTTATCACAGACAGAGAGAGGAAGGGGGGAAGTTTGCATAGCAAAGTTAGGAATGGCATTCAGGACAGCCAAGGCTAGTGTAACTCTACCAGCAAGTGATAGCGTTTTGGCTTTCGATGCTGTAAGTTTGCCATCCATCTTTTCTAAAACAAACCTGTAAGTATTCCTGGTCATTCTGCCATGGATCACTGGCATCCCCAGGTATCTCCCAAGGTCATAGGTTTCCTGAATACCAAGTCTAGAGCACACCTCAATCCTAGTAGCTTTGGTAGTGTTCTTAGAGAAGAACAAGGTTCTACTAAACGGCTCCACTAGAATCATTCTCCATTGCCTCATTCATTTATTCTATTTCATCCATAGTCACTCAAATTAGTTCAGCAGTTCAAGTTTGGTCACTCTCTGTTAGTCTCCGTTAACTTTAGCTGACATGGCAGTCAACTCTAAGAGTTAACCGTTAAATAAGTGACGTGGAAATTAAAAATAAAAAAATAATCTTTTAAACATTCCACCTCATTAACACGATAAATTAAAAAATAATAATAATTGCAATAAAAATTGGAAAATTGGAAAATCAATCCCAAACTTGTCCTTCCGTTTCAGTTTAGGAAAACGATGGTCGACGGCAACGGAGATGGTTCTACGGGTGAGCTACCGGAGACGGCGGAGCAGCTGTGAGGGTTGGGGTTTTTGGCTCTGCACAATGAAATTTGAGACCGGATGATGGGAGGGAAAGTTGTGGGTTTCTGAAAGGGAGACCAAATTGCAGTGGAAAGAAATTGGGATGTGGGTTGAAGAAGAGAGGGAGATTTGAATGAGGTCGGACAGGACATCGTCACCTGAGACAGCCTGAGCACTACGGCGGAGATGTGAAGTTGTGTGTGTAGGAAGGTCCGAAAAGGTTTGTCGGCACATGGAGGATAATTAGGATGTGCGTGCCACGAGCCCACCCACATCCATAGCTTCCACAATTTAAAGCACCCTCGTTAAATAGGATGTGAGAATGAATTTTTTTTTTCCAATTTTTCATTTTTTGTTATTGCAATTATTATTATTATGTATTATTTTTCAATTTATTGTGATAATCATATAATTATGTGGAATTTTTAAAAGATTAAATTTTATTATTTTTTAATTATCACGTCACGTATTTAATGATCAACTCTCAGAGTTGACTGCCACGTCAGCTCAAAGTTAACAGAGACTAACGAAGAGTGACCAAACTTGAACTGTTGTACTAATTTGAATGACTACGGATGGAATAAATTAATTTCAGTGCCAAAGGTGTACATTTTCCAAATTTAGAACGAAATTTTTAAATTCATAGGACGTCAAATATCAACTACCAATTCAACGGAAAAAAAAAAATCAACTCCCGAGTTCAACTCCCAACAAGATTGATGTGTTGTAATTAACCTTTCATTTTGAATGATAATTATACCAAACGTGTTACTTCCAAAATAGGCAAGGACAAAGACGATGATGCCAACTAGTATAGAGATGAATGGTGACTGGGGTCGGTTAGCATGCTAACCCCCTTAGGGGTTGGAAAAATGACACCCTTCTAGTATATTAAATACAACTATAATTAATACACAATAATTAATACACACATTAAATACACATTAGGAATTAAATGTACCATATTAATTAGGAATTCTCTCACTATTAAATACACATTAGGAATTAAATACACACATTAAATACACATTAGGAATTCTCTCACTATATTTGATTTTTCCTTTTTAAGCAGTCTTCGACTACCAGACTTCCTTCGACCGCCACACTTCTCCGGTGAAAATCCCATCGGCAGACTCCCTCCGACCACCTCCAAAAAATATACCACTACACTGATACGATGTACCACTGTACTGGTAGATATACCACTGCACTGATACGTTGTACCACTGTACTGGTAGATATACCAATGCACTGATACGTTGTACCACTGTACTGGTAGATGTACCACTGCACTAGTAGCGATATCAGTGCACTGGTAGCAATGTCATATCTGAGTATCAGTGCAGTGGTACAAATACCAGTAAAGTGGTAATTAATGTGGTATATTTAATGCTTACTTTGTATTTAATAACATAACATTTATTATATTTACTTTCATTAATACTTGTCAATAATTAATGAAAAATTGACCAATTAAAAGGGGTGTCAAAAAACCAACCCCTTAAGGGGTTAGCATGCTAGCCCGTCCCATGGTGACTGGCAAATGATATGCCTAATACTATAAGTTTAAATGATCAAGTTATAGTAGCCAAATAAAATCAAAAACAGATTGCATTACGCTGTTAGTGTAACACTCGATACAAACAGAAGTATCCCAGCTGACCATGTATGTTTCCGTGACCTTTACAAAACTGTCAACCAAGGGAGGGGCACAAAGAAGAAACTGCATAGTTTATCTAATGAGCCTTCATTGTTAGTCAAGTTTTGGACCAGTTACTTTGTGGATGATTTGAGATTTCAATTTATATCCGTAAGAGAGAGCATCCGACACCAAACCATCAAGCGCTTCTTCGTTCCATTCGTACAAGTAGAACCCTAAAAAAGTTGTGGGAACTCCTGCAGTTATGATAATCACGTGACATGGCGATTAGCAACTTAATTAATTACTGATCAGAAGGCCAAGTATAAGATTTGGTATAAAAAAAGAGAGTACCCATTACAAACAATGAGTGAAGGGAAATGGTCCCTATGAAGCCAATGATCAACAGCGACAAGACAACCTGTTCCAACGTAAGAGCATTTTACACAAGCTAGTTAAAACAAAGCTAATACCTCCATGCTACCAGATGGGCGCCAAAGGGCCCTGATTCTATTGCAGAGCGTTGTATAGCCAATATTCCTTCCCAGCAACCGCACCACCAAGGTTCGCTGCCAGGGGGCACTAAGCTTCGTCTTGAAGTTGTCAGATAACCGCAGCTCAGGCTCTCCTTGGAACGATCCTGGAATGAGATCGTGTTCACCAACAGGAATCCACTGTGACATAGGACCTTTCGACATACTCCCCTCCCCTGCCACAATCCCAGCATAGGAGACGATCCGCTTTGAAGGCGAGGTGGAAGTCTGGTCACCAGTGGTGTCAGCAGCGAGCACATCGATCGTATCTCCCGTCGGCGAAAGGCCCAGATTTGTTGGCGCCGGCGGCTTGTCAATCTGCATCCCAGCGAGCAGGTCCCCCGTGGATGCCTTCAGAGGATTATCCCCTGCCCCTGTCGACGTTGTAGCCTCTGTAAAAAGTTGGCAGTTGTCCGGCGGGCGCCCCGAAGGGATCGAACTGTCCGCCGGCATCGCAATCAGAGAAGAGCTCATCTCAGAATTTCAAACTTCGATTAACCCCATTTTAATTGAAGGACTACAATCCATAGGAATGATGCCATGTCATGTCCTCTGATTATTTGTGGATGTGGAACCGATTGGAATTGTAGATTCCGCTGCCAAAAGTTTCTCCAATTTCAATAATATTTTTATAACACACCCATAGTCTTAGATCAATGTTTGGAAGTTGAAAGAGGTCATGGGTGAATCAGTATAGCCAACTAATTATAGCACTCGGCTAAAACAAATTAATTCCCGACATGAAAGCCTAACCTTGCAGCTTGTATATTCAACCTTATTTCTAACTAAAGTAAATGGAAAAGAATCAACTTAACAACTCATTATTAAAAATTTTAAGGAGAAGTTAATTAATGGCTATAATTCAGTCAGCATAATGAAAAGAAGGCAAAGAAAGAGTCAACAACAAATTGTCAACCATAAGTAAGTAGAGTTTTGGCGAGCCAATGAAATAATTAAAATAAGGAAGTTCACGAAGCTATAAGATATCGATTACTACATTTTTCCGAAATGCATCAACCCAATAATCTTCTTTTCTTGTAAAAAAACTCAGCCAAGCACCATAGACAATTAAGGTGCTTTGGTTTTCTCCTTACCCCTCTCCTCCATCAAATTCATTATCCTTCGTTAGATAATTGAACATCATTAATTATGGGAGGCTGTGCAAGCAGACCTAAAGCATTGGATGATCAGCTGCCATTGCAACCTCCCCAAAAGGGTAGCCGTAGTGTTATTAATCATGCAAAATCAGTCACTGCCCCTACTAATAATGTTGCAGCAACAACTATTAGCACCACCACCAAACCCACACCAACAACTCCCAATCTTGAGGTCGAGGTGGACGTGGCAACATCCACAACTGACCAGAAACAGGTTGACGATCAGAATAACGAGTTGCTGGTTGTTGTCTCTAGCGATGATGTTGTAATAGATGCTAAAGAGACGAAGGATGGTGAAAAATTAGAGGAGGGAGGTAATGATGTGAAAAAAATTAAGAATGAAGAGAAAGATTTGTTGGTTGATGTTGAGCCCCAACCAAAGCTAAACCATGAAAGAGAGACTGATCAGAAAACCTCATCAACACCACCATTGGTTACCGTGAAAAATACAATTAATGGTGGTCATGATGATGAGGCAACTGGAACTAAGAAGGTTGAGGCTACTAGTAATGTTGTTGCTAAGGATGATCCTGCGGCCCTTTCCTTACAAAACCATCAGAAGGATGATGATCAGAAGGTTGATGTTGCTACATCAGAGATTGAGGAATCTGCAACACTAGTGGAAAAAGTTGAGGAAGTTGTAGCATCAAATGCGAAGGAGGCTAACGTAACGCAATCAAAAGTAGTTACAATCACCAAGATGGAGGATACGGCTATGGAGGCAGAACTAGGAGTAGCAGCTAGACACCCCAAAGTCGTAGAGACGGAATCTAAACCGTTGTTGCCGGCCGCCGCTGCACAACCTAGAGCAACCATGGCAGATCAATCAAATAGAGAAAACTAACGACCGATCAGCATCAAGCGCGAGATCTTATATGTGGATGGATGCTACACCAACATTATACATCTACCCTCGACCAGAAAATCAGGCAGATAATTAACAAAATTACACAAAATACTAGTTAATCGTGTCAACAGTCAACACACAACTGATCATCAACTACTTTTGTATTGGTTTTATAATTGAATTATCGTGCAGTATAACTTGAACAACAACTCATATATTAATTAATGCAATCCAGTTTTATATATTTGTGCTTATTAATATATGTTCATTATACATATGTGTTATATATATACTATTGGTGGCAAGGATGATATCTATTGAGTGTTGACCAGATGATAGAAGTGGGCAATGGGTTGGTCCACACCCAACCGAATTGGTGTGTTGATCGGACCACACCGAATCGAATATAATGTGGTCCGGTCCTTGATCCCATAAATTATATAAATACTAAAGAAAAATGGATCGAATTTATATTTGAACCAGACCAAAACGAACCAAATAGACCGAATGCACTGTTGGTCCGGAACCATACCCACCCCTACCAAGGGCAATCGAGCGCAGCGACATCGAAAACTTATGCAAACAAACCACAATAGATGGAGTATGTGGTTGCAATAGCCAAGAACGGAAGACTAGTCAGATAGTGAAGAACAGGCCAAAGGGAAGAAACACGAAAATATTGGGATAAATTGACGCGATATCGCGATACTTACACGAGTGAAACGACGAGAAGGAATGCGTGTTTCTCAAAATCAAAATCGAAACCCAATAAGTTGTCGGGAAAGGAATGTTAGCGTATCGCGAGAATTAGGAGGTATATTGACTTAGCTGCTGAAAATAACGCTGTTGCCGGCCTCCGGTGACCTAAATTTGACCATAGGGAGACGAAGACGCTAATGACAAGCAGAAGCGTTATGTGGATGGATGTGGCGCAAGCGAGTCTGTGCAGTTGCAGGATGTTTCACCAAAACTTTCAGCGGACAAACAAATCCGATTTCCCACCGTTGCTGACCAGAAGAAAACTGAATTCGAAGGAGAAGAAGAAGCACAGTCATCAGCATCTCCAACCCCAATTCCGATCTCAATCGCAGCATCTCTGCTCACCTCTCCGATTACGATGCTGCGCCCCCGGAGCCTCTGTAACTTGTGAGAAACAAAGCGTTCGCTTCCACAGTCTCATCGTGTTGGAATGGGACAAGCTCTGCAATTTGGTGGCTTCCTTCGCCTCTACTTCCTTGGGCCGCCAAGCCACTCTTGTGAACTTCCTTCGCTGCTTCTTTTTTCCTTTTTTTCACATGCTCTGGTTTCCCTAATTCATCGAAACAATTATCTCCTCGTTCTGTGTTTTATTTGTCAGTCACAGTTATGGACTCTCGACAACAGCTACGACGACAGTTTGATGCTCTTGCAAGAAACTAACGCTGCTCTGCAATTGCGCAGTCACGGTGGCTGCCGTTTGGACTTTTCCGGCCTCGACCTCGTTTTGGTTCGCTTGTTCTCAGTACTCTCCTCTTTCTTCTCCTTGTGCAATGTCGTTCTGTATTGTTGGTAATATGCTCGTTCATTCCTTGAAGGTGGAATCTGCTATACAACATGCTCGTAGGAGTCTGCCGATCAGTGGAGCTGAAGCCATGGCGGTTGGAGCTCTGCTTGATTCTGCTCTTTGCTTGCAGCTTAATCTGAAATCTGCAATCAAGGAAGATGCCGATTGGTACCGCCGTTTTCTGCCTCTTTCACCAGTGGTATCGTAACTTGCACAAAAGAGCTTCTCGTCTCAGTCCAGCCAATTTACCTTATGTTGCCTGGTTAGAGTTTTCATTTTCACCTCCTGCATTCTATGTTCAGATTATGGCAATGGTCATAAATGGATCTTTGGTTAAAATGATTCAGCAAGTGGTTGATGAAGATGGTTCAGTCAAAGATTCTGCTGTTAGTTTCTCTTCTTTCTCTGTTCAAGAGCTTACAGCTGTTTCCATAATCTCGAGTGACTCACAGACAGATTGATGACTTCACAAACTATTTGTTTCGCTTCTCTTCCGCAGAGTTCTGCTTTAAAACGATCACGTGGTCAGGTCCGCATGCTTGAGGAGAAGGTAAAAATCTCCATCTCCATTTAATTATCATAATAAAATGAGGTCACCAATTTTTTTTTTAAATCTCCATTTCCATTATTATTGTTGTTATTATTATTCTGATCGATAACCATCCCGCGTTGTAATGGTTGACATCCTTCTTTGTCCAGTTACACCGGTTAATGGACGTCTTAGTCAGGAATCAGACGACTGATACTTCCTTGCTGGTAAATTAAGCTGTTGATTATAATATTATTAGCATTAATATCACTATTTCTGGCTTCATCAAATGTACACTTGTTGTGATACTCTGTTTGTTATATTGGTCCAGGAAGCAAGTAGCATAGATGGAAGGTGGTGCCTGAAATCGGGGCCTGGTCAGCTAGTAACTGTTAAGGGCCTTTTGTTATCCAGGTGAATGAGACACTAGTTAAGTTAAATTATTTGACATGCTCCTCTGACATGCAATGTGCAGTATGATATACTGCATGCAATCTGTGTGTTGAACAACTTTAAGTGGCATGGCAATAGGTGATTGCTTATCTGAACCCATCGTCATTTAGTATAGGTGTATTCTTCTTGCAAGCTTATTATCTGAGCTTAAATGGTAGAAGCTAACAAGAAATTCAGGCAAATCCTTGTAATAGAAATCTTCAGGATAGAGCAGTAATTTATGTCAAGGTCTCATGCTTATTTTATATGTGAAGTTGGTTAGGGATGCAGAAGAACAAGGTACGTAAGAGGTTTTGCACGATTCCCTTCAGATTAGACAAAATGTTTTGGGGCAACCAATTGCATATTACTTTAACTGGATTTAGGCTGAAAGGTTCAAAGAAACAAAGAAAGCCAATCAATGTAGGTCCATTTACGCACTTTAATTGGAATTCTGGTAAAGGAGACACTCTCTCTCACTAGATGCTACCCTTAGCAGTAAGAATTTGGCTATATAGAATTAGCTTATATTTATTCTGTTCCTAAACTGTGAAGAATGAATTATTGTAGGGAATCAGGCAGAGGAAGTATTATAGAGCCGCTCTCTGCAGTTCCTTTAAATGACGAGTTGCAACAGGCACGACTATCAGTGGCAAAAGCAGAAGTCGACGTGCTTTCTATGCTAACAGAAAAGGTAACCTCTTGTCAATATTAGGATCAAAATTCTATTTAGTATTGATTATGTACTATATTTCCATTCTGTCTAATCGATACAGGTTCGAGTCAATCTTGATGACATCGAGAAAGTGTTGAAGAATGTGATTCAACTGGATGTGGTAGGTCTTTAACTCTCAGTCTACTCACTGAAATTGAGCTGAATTTATTGTTTTTGGTAATGAATAATGATTATACTTAACAAGGACTAGTATACTTTCATATTGGCTGGTTAGATATGCTTTAACACGTATATAGTTCTCAACCATGGAACCAAGCTAAAAGGCCTTGCAGCGCAAGACTTTAGCTACAGTTTAGAACATAAAGAATGATTGACTAGAACATCTGGAGAGATTGTTTTTTAGGTAAACATCTAGCGATATTTGTCTCTCTTAAAATTGAAGTGTTTCTTTCTTGACTTTGTGTCTGAAGATAAATGCTCGAGCAAGTTATAGTCATTCATTTGGAGGTTCCTGCCCTGTCCTGTATCCCCCGGAAGAAATGGATGAATCAGTTGCTTCCTGTTCTTATTTATTGGAAAAGAACACATCAAATTGCAAGAAGAGAGAGTGGATATTATATATGCCTGAAGCTCATCATCCTCTGTTGCTTCAGCAGCATAAGCAACTCCTTCAGGAGAGAAAGAAGGCCAGCAGAAATGCTTCCATCGTAAGTTACTACAGGCCACCTTATGAAATTTCACTATTATTAATTAATGACTCCAAATTCAAGCTCCATATCCAATACAGGTAGCACATTGTATCGCTCTCATGTTGTTTACCCTGTCCATTCTTGTTGCTCTCTATTATGAGTTATAGATAAAAGTGCAAAGAGATAGTGTCTCACAGAAAGGAGAAGCAAGAGTCATAGATTCGTCAATGCAAGGGCAGGTACATGTGATGCTACTGTATGAAGCTTGCTGGCTTCACATGTTTTGAATTATTCCTCAAAATTTCATCACGTCCTGAAGTATGCTAGCTATCTTTCTTTTAATTTGGAAGATTTGTACTAGTTTCCTGACCTCCGGATTGCAACAGCCCCCTCCAGTTCCCGTTGATTTCTTTATAGAGAAAAGAACAAGAGTCCTTGTTATAACTGGCCCAAACACTGGGGGTAAAACGATCTGCTTAAAGACTGTTGGATTGGCTGCAATGATGGCTAAGTCAGGTGGATGAGCATCAGTTACCTTTCTATTGCATTTACTGTACTTATTTGACGGCTAGAGATGCAAACACTCCTTGTTCGTGTGGCTAAAACTTTTCTCGACTGCAAGGCTAAAATTTTACATGTTTCGCACACTATGATAAGTGGACTGCAAAAAAGAATGTTACTATATGCCATGTAGACAAAGGTAGCGACTAGGTCATGGTGAAATTTGGCTGCGTTTTTTCTTTTTCCTTTTTGATTGCTTGTTGGCAGAAGGGCTAAGTTCTGTTGCTACATGGCATATTTTCATGACTGTACAGACAAGTTACATCCTCTTTTTTCCAATAACAAAGTGCATGGTCAATCATCAATAAAACAATCTTTAGTGTGAGGGAGTAGTGTTTGCATCCTAGTTACTTGCTTGATCTAAAATTTACTCACAGGGGTTTTCCAATAACAAAGTGCATGGTCAATCATCAATAAAACAATCTTTAGTGTGAGAGGGAGTAGTGTTTGCATCCTTGTTACTTGCTTGATCTAAAATTTACTCACAGGGGATATCTTGTTGTGTATTAATGCTGCAGGACTTCATATTTTATCTTCGGAATCTGTACAAATTCCTTGGTTCGATTCTATTTTTGCTAACATTGGTGAAGAACAATCTCTATCAGAATCATTGTCCACCTTCTCTGGCCGGTTAAAACAGATAAGTGTGAGGATTGCATTTTTGTTATGGAAATCACGAACCAGCTCTTTTCTACATTCAGATTTGAATAAATGGTAAACAAATAAAGCACTTATGAGGTGAAAATGAGCATGTGAACCTTCTCATCCTCCTGGATAGTCAGGGGAGGTTCATTGAGCTCCAGTGGGTGCTGTTTGGATCCATTTGTGGACTAGTGAAAACACTGATTCAGGAAGAGAGTGGAAGAGCCTTATACTTGGTTGTTGATTCTCAATATTTCTTTTAGAAATTTTTTTATCATGTAAATAAACCTACATAGTGTTGCTATGTTGACAGCACTGCAAGGCAATTAGATTAGTGTCCTAGAGAATACTTGCCATGTTAGGCCCGCTACCGTGAAAGTATTTAAATCAGTTCCTGGAACTACTTAATTTCACTGATGAGAAAAACTAGAACTGAGAAGGAAACTTAAGCAGCATAAATTTGGACTGCTGGCAGTAGAGCTTGAACTTTCAAGTAGATGGTTTGGATTTGGGATCTTAGGCTGGCGGAAGGGCTGACCAATAACCCAATCCAAAGCACTCTGCCTGTCTCTTTGAAAAGCAAGCGAGTGCCCTTTTTTGGTGAATCAAATGTCATTTTCTCTTTCCCATTTAAAAAATTGTTTGTTTTTCATGAGAAATTGGTCAATCACGATATCGCTTCTGTATTTTCTTTGAATTTGTTTATTATGTACGTCTCCCAAGCTGTTTCTGGAATATTGATCATAAGTGACCTACTCATTCTGCAGGAAATTCGATCTGCATCAACAACCCAATCATTGGTATTACTTGATGAAGTATGCAAAACCCAGTTCCTTCTCTTCTTTCATGCTTTTATTTTCCCCGCATTGGAATGAAGCTCACATGCGGCTTTAAACTGCAATAGCACCTAGCGAAGTGAAGTGGCCTAGAAGATCCATCTCTGTTTACTTCTCGCAATTGAATTTTACTCACTGACAGCTGTAGCAGCATGCTTGATCTGAAGCGAACTTGGTCTTTTGATGATTACTCAAGTCTGGTGGCATGTTTGTGATTAAAATATAACTGAAGAAGCCGTAACCTGTTAACTGAGTGCCCCCCACCCCAACACATACACAAACTTATGATGATAGGGCAAGAGGCCATACATAGCATTAGAAAACTTAATGCCTGATTGCATCTATTAGGTTGGCGCTGGGACAAATCCCCTTGAAGGTGCTGCTCTAGGAATGGCAATGCTGGAATCTTTAGCCAATTATGGTGCCTTGCTGACTCTAGCTACAACACATCATGGCGAACTAAAATCACTTAAATACAGGTATTTACTCAAGAAAGTAAGATGCATAAATTTACCCTCGTCACTCTATTTTGTAAGTTAAATTGATAAGTTAATACTGGTAAGTAAAGCTACCTATAGCTGTCTTTCTAATGCTATAAGTTCTTTTATTTTTATGCTTATGGTTTTCTTATTTGACTTGACAGTAATGATGCCTTTGAAAATGCATCTATGGAGTTTGATGAAGAGAATTTGAAGCCGACTTATAAGATTCTGTGGGGAGTACCAGGTTGCTCTCTTTTCCTAATTTTTGCATGATAGGATGATGACCTGATAATCTCAAAGTATGAGCTCCCGCTCCAACTCCTTGGAAGCCAGATCCAATAAATTTAAGAACTGCACTTCCTTAAAATTTTCTATTGAAGTTAATGGTATTATCATTATTTTACATCTTATATTAATTACTGTCTTTGTTTATACAGGCCGATCCAATGCCATAAATATTTCTGAAAAGCTAGGATTGCCAAGCACCATCGTTACTGAAGCTAGACAACTTATTGGTGCTTCTAACGAGGAGATTAATGAGGTGATTTGTATGTCCATTGCAGAAATTGGTTCAATACATAAACTAACTGATGCCTGGTAGCAGCACATGGCTTTGTCTTATAGAGGCTGTGATTGGGATGATGTCAGTTGTTCAACATCTACAGGTCATTGTTGGCATGGAGCATGCGAAGCATGATTTTCGAGAACTTTTAAGTGAGGGCAAACATCATATCATGTATGGATCTAACTTTTGATTCATATGGGTTCTTATCAATCTTAGTTCTTCAAATTTGCATTCATTTGGATAAGCCATTAAGCCTTTATTGAGCATATATAGACAAGATTGTACAGAGTTCTGTGTCTTTATTGTCGGAAGGGGAAAAATAGTTATACTTATAAGGCTTTGTCCGGTCAAGTGGTGACGGTTGTCAAAACCTCATTTGTTTCTATGCTGTTTCTCTCTTGAAAATTTTAGGCTCTCAAGAAACATGCACAAACATTTATTTATGGCGAGAAGTAAGATCATGGAGCATGCTACAAGGCAAAGATACAGCAAGGTCCGGGAAATAACTGAAGCTGCTGCTTCAGCACGTTCTGTTCTTAGAAAGAAAGTGCGAGAGTTTCAAGCTTCTGCAACACAGCCAGCTACAGCAAAGAAAAGAGTATTGGTGGCAAGTGACAAACAGCGCATTACCTCCGAGGACCAAAAACTTCATGCTAGTAATGAAGGTTTGTCGCCAAGCAAACCTCTTAAGCAATTGCCTTCTTCAGGTAATGTGATATTCCATGAACGTTCTCAGCCTGGTGCAGGCTGCTTATGGGGAAACACTTGGTGTTATGCACCATTGCCACTGCTGAACTTGTATACTTAGTCTAAGGATGATTCAATTGTTTTTGGTTTCTCCCTTACATTTTGACAGAGAGGATTGGGCTTCCTGAGGTGGGTGAGCTGGTGCATGTTTCCAGTTTAGGGAGGAAAGCGTCAGTTGTGAAGGTGGATACTGGAAAAGAAGAGATAGTGGTTCAAGCGGGTAACCTGAAATTGAAGCTAAAATTAGGTGATATCCAGAGTTGAATGGTAAGAGATAAGCAGCTAGTGTCCCGTTTGTTTTTTTTCTTCTTTTTATCGTGCTAACGTCTCACTGTTGATGGTACTTATCTAGTTTTTCTATTTTATTTTTAATGATACTTGTGCAGTTGATCACCAGTCTGTAGACAGATAATTCAACATGTATTATATCTACAATGTTTCTGTATCAAGAGCAGACTGCATTTGTCTGTCGAATCGCTACCTAATAAATTGTTAACTCTTTTGCTGAACTATATCGATAATGATGCTGCTGCATTTTGCTTTTTTCTCATAGAGGTACGTTTTCCTAGTGGCTTCCCACGGGTGGCCTGCAATAGTTGGTATCAGCGCAAGTGCTCCTCCAACTTATTCAAACTTGGACAAGCAGAAATGAAGACAAGCTGCATCCACTGATCTGCATCACGGATCGATAATTGTCATGGCAATGATCAGGTCAGAGAGGTTGAAGCAATTGGATGTAAAGCATCACATCACAGCTGAAGGAACACCATAAGCGGGCGGTGAAAGATCTCACCAAATCCAAGAGACATTAACATGTCGAACAAAGATAATATGCTAATGTCGCATTTACCCTAGAAAACTATAGTACTGTATATCCAGCTGTCCAGTTGTGTTATCGTCTCTAAAGTGCCGAGTTTCTTATCATGCTTGGAAGAGTGCACTCTAATTCTTTTATGTTCTATAGTTGTGACGCTACTGCTGCTACTACTAGTACTAAGACTAGTTGATACTGTGAAGTGCAGGTGGCTACTATTATTTCAAATCAAACTCGGTGTTGGGAGGTGGTGAGCTGACAATGATCGGGGTCCTGGTGGTTCATAAGAACATGGCCTCCATCCTCACCATCTCCGGCTGAGGTGGCACCAGGATCCTCCAAGGTAACGTCCAGGAAGTAGAGCATGGAGACGAGCACAAAGCAGAGCAAGAACATGGGAACAGGGCCAAAGAGCCAAAGCAACAAAGGCAGTGAGAAGTAGAAGGCACGCAGTCCCAATGACCAGAAGTAGCCACCTCTATTCACAGACCTGGCCACGTAGTCCACGGTAAGATGGCTGCCTCCAGTCTTCATGTCCTTGAGAGGGACGTTAATGAGGAGGCTCGCATGGCTATAGTACCTGATGGACTGTACAGTGAGCAGAAAAGCGAGGAGGAAGCAGAGCAGTATGGAGAAGAACTTGAGGGAGAGAGCTTCATCGCTGGCGTCTCCCATCAGCACCAAAACCAGACGGGATTTGTCCAATGTGCTGCTGCCCATCAGCATGGCGATCAAGGAGCTGAGCATGATCGCCGTGGAGGCCAAAAGTGTTGATGCCATTATGTTGTTGCGGAGCGTCTGGACTGCGAGAACTCCATTCCTAGAAGGATCCTGGAAAAGAAAAGGAATTAGAGTGCATATGGAGATGATGATGGTGATGGAGAGAGAGAGAGAGAGAGAGAGAGAGAGAGAGAGAGAGAGTACAATACATCCATCATGGCGCGAACCCAGAAGCGGCGATTAATGGCGTTGATGCCAACAATGGTTTGGGAAGGATGGTTTAGGATTTGGCAGAGCAGCCAGATGTGGTATGACACCATCATTACCAGCCCCAGAGGTACCAATGTGTAGTCCAGAACCCTTTTCTCCATCTCTTTCTCTGTTTGTCTGGATTGAATTGTTGTGGCGTGGATGAAGAAGACGGAGAGAGACGAAGGTAATCTAAAGGCTTCGTGATGTTCTCTCACTCGACTGTTAGCATTAACCCTTGTTTCACGAAGAAACAGAATGGGGGCTAGGTTTGTGATACTTTCTTTGTTTGCTGTGTACGTGTATGTAAGATTGAGAAGGTAGGCGTATTTTATGGAGCAATTTCGTTTGCACTAAGGTAAAAGAGCCATAAGCCCATAAATATGGAGATGGGATGGGAGGTTCGTTGTTTTTTTTTTTTTTACAAGAGATGGGATGGGACTGGGAGGTTCGTTGTGAAGCCAAAAATAAGCAAGAGTGGTACTAGGCCGTCGTTTTGTTTTATGGATGGGAAAATTGGATGGCTTGGCTATGCCTACAGGCTACAGCCTAGAACTAGGAGGGGAGAAAGAAGGCACTGCACTTGCACATGAGGAAAGTAAGCGTGTAGGGAAACGGAACGATTTTGTCTGCTGGTTGGTTTGGGTTTAGGGTTAATCCCAGTAACAGAAATTAGGAATACATAGACGTTGCAAATCCTAGCAATTGCACATGCTCATGTTAGTTGTTACGCCTTGACCATTTTCATTGTTTTCTTTTTAATTTCTTTCTATCATAACGTTTCGTAAAGGGTTATTAGAAGACAAATACCAGAAAATGAGAAATTTCATGTTCAACACTTATGTGTTACCAAAAATTGAGCTTTCCTACTTTTTTGTACCTAGTATAGAACATACGAACCCAAATTTATCATCCCAAATACAAGCAAACCTTTATGTGCAAACAATCACAAAACGATTTCAATATTCGATGCCTACTATATGACACAACCCCCAATTTGTAACTAAATCATTTGCTAAAGAATCTTCTCGACCAAATCGTTTCTCTCGCGTCAAAATCATCTCACTACTCTAAGCTACCAAACCATACCGAATCAGGCAGCAATAGTTTCAGTTCTCCATAAACTTGATCTTCTTCAAATAATTTTGCATGCGCCGCAAACAATCGCCCTCCAGAGGTGAGCTTCTAGTGCTCAAACTTCTTCTCGTCACACTTTAAAGCAACTAAACTACAAGTCCTCATACTTCCTGTATCGCTAAAAGGGAAAGGAGAAAGAAAGAAGGGGAAAATATGATACATGGATCAATCTCTATAAAGGTATCTCAGGCCTCAGCACACCTAAGTGAAGACATCACATTATTCTTAGGATAGACTTAGGATACACATACACTAAATGATGTAAGAAAATTTTCAATAAGAAATAGACTTTACACACTTTTTGGAGTTTTTTCCGGACATAGCACCTTTAAAAAAATTTACAAAACTAGCACCCTTCCAAAAATATTTACAAAACTAGCACCCTTTTTTTTGGACCGCACCCTTGTGGTGCGTTTTATATATAAACCGCATCCTCCAGGTGCGTTTTATATATAAACCGCACCTGTAGGGTGCGGTCCATTTTCCTGGGGCTAAAGCGCATCTTGGCCATGCGTTTTCACGTCTGCCCTACATAAAACGCATGGCCGATGTGCGGTTTTGGCCTGACCTAGGCAAACCGCTCCTTAGAGATGCGGTTTAATCCTCCAAAACCAAACCGCATATCTAAGGTGCGGTTTAGCCACACAGACCGCACCCCCCAAGTGCGGTCTGTGTGTCAATTATTTTCCGACACCCGACAATCACCCATGCAGAATTATCGACGTAGGGAGGTGCGGTTTTCCTCATTTTTTTGCCTATATAAGACTGCCCGGAAAACCTCTACTCTTCACACCTCTCATTCTCTCTTTTCATTTTTCTGTTGTATCTCTATATTTCTTTAGTGTTTTTGCCATTAACATTAACTCGTAAGTTTATTTTGTGTTACTTTTTAGGGTTAATATTTTCGTATGGCCTGAACTTTGATCAAAATAAACATCATGGCCAATCTTTTCGATCTATAACATCCTGGCCCGAACTATACACTAAAATAAACAATTTGGCCAGATCCGACTTTTGACCGTTAACTTGGACGGTCAAACGCGTTGACCGTTAGTCAACGCGCCATGTCACTGCCAAGTCAGCATAACATATTTAAAATAATTCACAATTTCCACACATTCCCTAATTTTAAATTATTATAAATTAAAAAAAAATCATCTAATACCTTAGTTAAACCAAAAATAAAAAACTAAAAAAATTAAATATTTATCAGATCTCCTGACTTGGCAGTGACGTGGCGCGTTGACCGTTAGTCAATGCATTTGACCGTCCAAGTTAACGGTCAAACATCGGGTTTGGCCAAATTGTTTATTTTGGTGTATAGTTCGGGCCAGGATGTTATAGATCGAAAAGATTGGCCAGGATGTTTATTTTGGTCAAAGTTCAGGCCATACGAAAATATTAACCCTACTTTTTATTGTTATTTGTGATTTGTGATTTTTATGATATTAACTGAACTACGGTTTTTTTGTGTGCAGATGGCATTCCGCCAGTTCACGCTTGGCTTACGGTGGAATGGTTACACGGAAGAGACCGGAAAGGGGGCCACCTACGTCGGTGGCAATTTTCAGAAAATAAAGGTCGCTACCAGACCAAAGCTTGAAGACCTCTATCAAATATGCAGTAACGTTACTTGCATGGATGGCACGGGAAGAGTAGATCATATGGTGTACTGATATCCAAACAGAGAAAGTGGGTCATTGTGGCATGAGGAATATACCATAACCACTCAAGATGAAGTAGATTCCATGCTCGAATTCTTGAGGTCCAACAAATTGGCCAAAGCCAAGATGTTCGTTTACACCGAGCCAGCCGTTGGCGTTGGAGGTCATTCTGGACACTGTCAAACATCTGGTATCCATGGTGGAGGTGAATTATATGGCGATCATCCCTACCAAAGTTACCATGATCCTCATTCCTATTTTCAGTACCAAGAGCAAGGTGAAGGCCATCATCAATCTTTCCCATCATATGAAGAAGAAGTTCAACCGGACCTCGGCAACCAACCCCAGTACAACTTCCAATCAGGCAGCGGTAGTTTTCACAACTACCATTATGGAGCTGATGAAGGTGCCTTTCATGAGCTGGATCAAATGGAAGCTGCTATGCCAGCACCAGTCAGCGACCCCTCCGATGAAGAAGGAGAGAACAACGTCAGTGCAGACAGCTCCGACCCTCTTGAAGGTGCTGATAATTCAGGGCCAGAGTCAGATTCAGATAATGATCATGATGTGGCTCCTGACCGTGTACCAGTCCACTACTACAATCACATTCCAGATGACAATTGGATGGTCGACAGCGACATGGAGCCGCCAGAGGTCCCAATATGGGGCCCACTCACTGGGTTTACGAAGGGCCAACAATTTGGCTCGAAGAAGGAGGTGCGGCACGCCATTGAGACTGAAGCAATGACTCGGCATTTTGAATGACACACAACTCATTCCAACACCAAAAGGCTCATAGTCAGATGCCGTAATCATCACGAGGGGTGCAATATTAGGATTCGGGCCATCAACAGCAAGAGACACGGCCACTGGGTCATATCTCGTGCGGTGAACACACACACATGTGTGTCATCCATAACTAACATTTAAAGAGGTACATACATATTATCGTAAAACAAACATACTAAATTAATTAACATAAATAACATTGTTAATGAATAATAATTTAAATAGAAACATACATATTCAAATATTTGAAATTAATAAAATTCTTTTTGTGCACATAAAAATAAATCGTATTGGTTGTTTGGTAAATAATTTAATCGTATTGGTTGTTTTAAATAATTTAATCGAATACAAAGCAACACTCGCTAGACTCTTAGAAGAGGTATACATCCTCTTAGAAACGCAGTTTTTTTGACAGAAAAAGGGAGGATCCGAGGATCTCTTAATACCCGATTTTCCCAGGTAATGGGAGGATATGATAATCGCTTAAAACCCCATTTCCTTAGACGTGCATCTCTTTATAAAGAGTCGAAGTAAGTGGCGCTATGTATTCGATTAAATTATTGAAAACCACCAACACGATTAAAAAATCAACATAAATTTATTTTATATTACACTAAATACATTAACAAAATAAAAGAAGGACAAATGGTGAAGAATTGTATGTACCGGGTGATCGTTCCAAACATCCCTTGACCGATGGTTGGGTTGGTCGTACAAGTCGGTTGGATCCAACGGTCCTTGCTCGAGATAATACCGTTGGTTGTATATATCGACGTCCTCCCCAACCTACGAGAAAATAACAACGAGGTTAGTACATAGATTAATTAAAAGCTTATAACAACAACAAAAATTAAACCAGAATAATGAGTACGTACCGCTTGAAATTCATCAACATAAACTCCTTCTCCTTGCCACCAATCGGCCATTTTTTCGGCGCAATTCCGACAGAGCTTCGGCTCGGCGGGTTATGAGGAAAAAACCTAAGAAATGTTTTCTGATGGCAGATCGGACTTAGCCGCAACCAACAGACCACTATTCTTAGGCTTTTTGGGAGGGGAAGGGTTTAGAGAGATAAATTGTTGAGAGAGAAGGAAGAATGGGTTGTGGTGTGAAGAAATGAGAGGGGAAGGGGGGGTATTTATACCCATCAGACCGCACCCTCCAGGGGCGGTTGGGTAATTTTGCCCACCACGAAATCGCACCCTCCCGATGCGTTTTGCGCTTCCCTAGGGTTGACCGCATCTCGAGCGTGCGATCTGCTATCCTTGGCACGGATCGCTCCGCTGGCAAACGTTCAGCCGCCCGATCGCACCTCCATCCAACGGTCTTGAAGACCGTTCCGCAGCAGCAGTAAATTGCATCGTCCTAGTGCGTTTTGTGAACTGGAACGCACCCCTATGATGCGTTTTATAAGTAAAACGCACCCTTCTGGTGCGGTATACTTATAAAACGCACCTTAGGGGTGCGTTCCAAAAAAATTGGTGCTATTTCTGTCAATTTTTTCATATGGGTGCTAGTTTTATAATTTTTTTTAAAGGTGCTATTATTGGAAAAATCTCCACTTTTTGTAATGCCCAATTGTTGATCATGAACCATTTAAAATAGTCATTTTGTTTTGAACCATTTAAACCATGGAGTTATGTACTTTTTGCTCATATGAACAACAATTACTATCAAACTCCATGAAATAGTAACCATTATCACAACCAAAATGAAAACAGAACTCCATGATTTACAGAGGACTATGTATGAGAACTTCCACGAAAAGTACATAACTCATTAGAGTTACTAAATACAAATTAGTTTCAGCAAGTCTACTTACCACTAGGGTCCATATTGCAAAATGTTGGGCAATTCCCAATCTTCCGCGCTATGGTAATAGCTGACCCAACTTTTTTAAGCTTCTCTCCAGAAACTCTGACTATTCATATCTTTGTGGCAGGGGCATATTTGACTGCACTGACTACAGATCCAAAAAGATCTGGAAATACACTTCCATAAGTACACACAAATATGAAGTAGACAAGTAACCTGCAACGTACCTTGCAGTGAACCAAGTGACAGAGCCAGCAAACATTCCCCAAAGTTTTGAAGAATGCATCTTTAATTACGTTCATCATATTGAATGGTGTAATGGTGATAAAATCATCACCTTGGATGTCTCGATTTGCATCCAAGAAAACTTTCATCACTATGTATCTGTTGTTAAAACTTAAAACCCACCATTATCCTTAATCGGAGATGCAACTTAACAAAGCGACTATTAAATATTAATGCTTAGATATTCATGCTCACCTTAGGTGATGGACGATACTCAAGAAATGGATAAGGAATAGCTTTTGCTTCATGGTGAGGTGAGCATGAGTAAGAAAAATACTAAACCCAAAAAAGTGGCGTTGCGGCTAACCTCAGCAAAGCAACGTAGCGCTTCACTTTTGGGTTAATTTCGTCGTTGTTAGATTCCCTCTCCCGCTAAGACCCAACAATACAAGGCAAGCCCCCATCCCCATCTACAAATAGCCCATCCGCCATGCAAATCGATCCATAATTACCAGCTAGCTCGTCCCCTTGCCAATTAGAATCCCCTCAATAACCAACTAATTCGCCTTGATGAATTGGAATATCCTCCTCCTCGTTCCCATTGTGGTTTTCTCCTTGTGCGTTTTGGCTCGTCCCTCCCATTCTTGCGGCTTCACCCTGACCAACAATTGCCCCCATCCCATATGGCCTGGAACGCTAGCAGGCTCGGGCACCCCGCAGCTCCAGACCACCGGGTTTCGCCTTGACACGGGCCAGACGGCTCGAATCCCCACCATCCCAGGATGGTCCGGGCGTATATGGGCGAGAACGGGCTGCTCCTTCGATCAATCTGGTGTTGGTACCTGTCAAACCGGCGACTGCGGAGGGAAACTGGAGTGCAACGGCAATGGTGCCACCCCTCCTGCTTCCTTATTCGAGATAACACTCGGCAAAGGCTACAATGATAAAGACTTTTACGATGTCAGCATCGTTGATGGATACAATCTTCCTATGATCGCTACGCCCGTGGGCGTCAACGGAGCTTGTAACGCCACTGGCTGTGCTTCTGACCTCAACCTCGGTAATACAAATTAACTATCCAACGTTCATCCATTCCCTTGCCTCTTCAAGGGTGCTTCCCATGTTAACGAGTCTCAAACTTACAGGGTGCCCCAAGGAGCTTCAGGTGGTCAGCGCCAGTACGATCGATGGTATTGACGGTGAGGGAGGAGTGATAGCGTGCAAGAGTGCTTGTGAGGCATTCGGCCTGGACCAGTACTGTTGCAGCGGCCAGTTTGCCAACCCCAACACCTGCCGGCCATCCTTCTACTCTACTATCTTCAAGCGAGCCTGCCCCCGCGCTTACAGCTATGCCTTCGACGATGGAACCAGCACCTTCACCTGCAAAGCTTACGACTACGCAATAACCTTCTGCCCTTCCAATAACAACAATTACCATAATCCCGACCCACTGTACGCATGGGTTCTGTTAATACTTACAACGTGGGTTAGCCACTTTCATTTAACTTGGTTCTTGACGATTCTTTTCAAGCTCATACATTCATTCTTCTCCAACTGCAGGACCGGTGCATCTTCTTCTGAGACATTTGGTGGTCCGGTAACACGGAAGAACAGCCAAGGGGGAGCCGCTGGGATGATTTCCACCTCAAACGCTCTCCCGCCTCCTCAAATTATTGTCCTGCTCACGTTTATCTTTGGCATTCTTCCATTGATCCTCGTATGAAGCATTTCTGATGAACAAGACATGAATCACTCACAGCTGTCTCTTATACAGTTAATTTATGAATGAAATGATCCCAATTGTAGTGTTCTTCAAGTGTTAGGACACCATACTCCATACAGTATTTGTACGAGACATCATAAGAACACACCAAACTAAACAAAACTTACTAGGCATTTGAATAGAATACATTCATTGGCTCACGTAACAAATTCCTTTCTTCTAGCACATTATGCAGACAATTCAACTTCTAACCAACTCAAAGTAGCTACCAAGGTCAGCATCTGGACAGCAAATATCAAAGGAAACCCAAGTGAAGGACATGCATTCGCATCATAACAGTTTAGCGGAAATTCATTTCTTGGCTTTAGCTCTCTTCGAAGCTTGATTTCTCTTTGTTGCTCGCTTTGTTGGATTAGACTTCCCTCCTGCACTCTTGCTTTTCTTCTTATCAAAACCCTGCATTCAAAATTAACAAGAAATCAAGCATATTAGAGACGTCTGGTGTTTCACAACTCAGTATATGATAACATAACAGGGGAGGACTGCCAAATTGTACTAAAAGTAGTGGGATCATACTGATGACTTATCCGCTTTCGCCTTGGCTTTCCCCCCACCATTGGGCTGTTCTTCAATGCCCTCATTCTGATATGGATGAGAAGCTTTCCTCTGCACTTTTTCTGTTTCGTCTTCTGAATCGAAAGAGAAACCCTCAAGTGTTCCTACTCGGACCAAGTAAATTCAGTGAAAGCACAAAAAAACCCTCAAAGGAAAGTACAATATAAACTGAGACATGGCGCCACATAGATGTACAAACAGGAAACCAAATCCCTTACCTTCAACCATTGTTTCAGCTTCATAAACATTGGACTGTGGTGTTAGCTTAATGAAGTCATTCATAATGGCTTCTATCTGGCAAGCAATAGCATTCATAACAACTGAATAAGAAACAAATAATGACATCTGCCACTATAAGGAAACTGAATCGGATCTAATCAGAGAGACGTTATTTTCTGCTATAACACGAAGATACTAACCTTTGCCTCTGATTGGCCAAAGCTAACCTGAACCAGAAAAAGATTACATCAACAATTAGTTCTAACCAAGAATACTGCATGCATGACTAAAGCTCAAGCAGCGAGCAGAAATGATTTGGTGATCTGGAACTCAGGAAAGAACGGATGACATACAACACAAAATGTCCTGGACGGAACAATTGATGTTCTGTATATTGTTCCTGAAACAAGTAAATAAACTAATCAGAGGCAGGTAATTACCAAGTGATGCACAAATAAGGATTCTTAGTGATGGTGATGGTCAATGATGGGAGGCAGTAATGGAGTGCACAGTAAACCATCTAAGAAGCTTCCTTCAGTGAATATAACTCAGGATTTCCATAATACACTTCAACATGTTACTGAGGCATGGACGCCACTGTTGAGCACTATAGATTCTCCGACTCCATTACAGTACCCACACCCAGTGTTATTTCTAGGTCAATGAAAACCCAAATACAAATCTAGTTTCTCATCCAAGTCCACTCAGCTGCTTTTACATCCAACCTCCAAATTTCTCACTAGAGGGGGCTCCTTTATAACACTGAATTCCAGAGCTCTATATAACCGCTCAACAGTGTCGATCAAACACATCCGTGACACATACAGTCATACACAATTGTCAATGCATTCGTGACATTTACCCGGGCATAAACTTATGAACCTCAAACTGCATACAATCCAATGGAACAGAATTCTACAGTTTTATGAGAGAAAGTTCTGAAAGGAGCATCACAAACAAAATGGAGCAGTACCTTTCAGATCGAAGTACATGTCACTATTTCCAGCGGGGCTATCTTGTACCATTATGCGTCCTACAGCCCCCATATCCCCACTTAAATCAACGGAATCTCCATCACACTCAACAAGTGCCTGACACAGACCACAAACCTTTTATCAAATATGCCCGATATAACCACTAAACAAGCAAGAAAGAGGGGAAAACCCAGTAAGATCCAAAGAAACATTCCTTGTCAAACTCCTAAAGTAATGATTATGTAAAATAGCAACAAAATTTCTCAACATACATTCTTTCGACCTACGAAAATGAAACATGAGTCTTTTTATCTCTAACAACAAAGATGAACTAGCCAAGAAAGTTGCAGAAACTATATCTGACCAACTCTTGTTTCATGGAAGTATATCTACCAAGAGTACAAATGAACGAAGCCCTAAAGAAAGTTATCAAGTATCATCCAACGGAAGTCCTAAAACTCACCTTTGAACGTTGGACTTTCTCGGATAGTACCAGAGATAAGCTTGAGGTAGAAACCTGCAGGATCCTGAGGTAATTCAGCAAGTCATGTACCAGTAAGTTTAAAAGTAACTTGCACTAGTTTATCATACCCGGGAACTAATAGGCTTCTCAGTTGTGTCCTCTTCTGGTGCTTCCAGGTCCTCATTTCCTCCTGGAACAGTATCCAATGCTTACGTGAATTCAATGAAACAAATCCACGGTGACAATCCTACATAGGCGCCAAAACAAAGAGGAGAGAGATTCTGATTTCTGACCCTTCTTCTGCAGGTCATCCATCCTATTTATCTTATGTAGAGTATCATCCTCTAGTTTTGATTTCTTTTTGGGAGATTTTTCTTTTGGAACCTTCTTCGGTACAGAGTTCTCACTGCTACCAACTAATGCTGCATCCTTATCATTTTCCTTCTTTGGACTACATAATCTTCTTGCTTTTGCTCTTGGTTTACCATCAGGAGAAGACTCGGAATCCGAAGACAGGGCCAAAATAAAGTCATCTGAGACCTGTATAATATTACATGTTCTTATCATCGGTATGCAAGAACATAAGGCAGCAAGCGGAAGACTTAATTGAAATGAAATACAATCCTATTAGTATTTCTCAAACAAAGACAAATCAAGGGACAGGAAAGGAAAGGGGGAGATATGAAAGCTGTAGATGATTATTCACAATGATGACATGGATGTAAGGTTTATAAACAGTCAAATCAAAACCAATGTAGTAGTTGCTTCAGCAAATCTGCAAATGAGCCAACTGCGGACTAAAATTTAATGGACAAAATAGAATGCGCAAAATCTGGAGTGATATGACAATGCTTATCACTAGTAAAATAGATCTCTCACAATCTCAGGTCCTGGTCTATCAGCATTCAACCTTAACCAAAGGCGTGGTTCTTCTAGTTCTAGATGCGGAGAATTCATAAACTTTCAAGGGGCAGACTTTAGCCCAATGCATCAAATCTCCATTTACAAATACGCCATTCAAAGATGACTAGGTCACAACAACAAAAGGGGGGAAATCATAAGCTAAGCTGTTGGGAAAATCATTTCCTATTCACTGTTAACAAGGAAAGAATGATGGATTATAGACGAACTACCCTGGTTGGTGCTGATCCCTCAGCATCTACAGCATCTTCATGTGCAATACTGTTGTCTGGAAAATGAACTTAAGAAAGAGCAGTTAAGTCTTAAGCTTGGCACATAAATTCAATTGCAGTACACAGAGTATGAAAACTGCCTATAATTCATAAATGTAAACATGCCTCACTTTTTTTCTTCTTCTTCCCAGGTGAAGTGTAGTCTTCTTTTGGCTTCTTTCTTGATGCCTTGGCTTTGGAAACCTCGTCTGATGGAGACTGACCACCATTTTCACCATCTGAATCAGGAACGTTCTCACTTTCTAGTGACTGGGAGTTGGCTAGATCCACCCTTTCAGGACTGTCATTCAGAGATAAACTGGACCCCGATGATATAGCCACCGGCGAATAAGTTGGAGCCTGCAGATATGTAGAGTTCAGCAACTGCATAACCAGGAGCTGATATCAAAATATCAAATCTCCGGAACTAGTACCTGGAAGGAGCGAAGCCAATCTGGAGAACTTTCCCTGGAGTCACTCATTTTTCTTGGGCGCTCTCCTGAATATACACCGCAATTCTTGAGTTAGGAATGACGAAGCTAAACGAGGATGCGTTGAATTTGAATGCGGCAACAAAGCAAATTCGCCCTTCCGACAGCCACAGACATGCAGGAACCAAGCAAAACTCCCACCTCCCTCTTACGAGACGAAGGGAGCCTAATTTAGGAATTCAGATTTTGAGGGCCGGCTAAATGCCCAGATGGCAGCTTATTATTGTTTCTTAACAAAGGCTAAAATAACGGCTTGAGATGGGTTAGTTGATTTGGGACCGAATTATTGTGTGGTTGGGATTAATGCGGGTGGGGAGGGATTATCTTTACACTCCAAACTTGTCTTTCAAATTCTAATAATTGTTTTTAAACATCTCACCAAAGTATGAGTGATTTTATCATTTCGAGAGTGACATAGGCAATGAAATGGGTCCAGAGGGTCGACCCACAAACCAACCCAACCTGACCCAAAAACTACGAGTTAATCGGGTTCGGGTTATTAAAACATCAACCCATTCTCTATTTTTCGGACGGGTTCGGGTCGGGTCAACGGGTCGGGTTCTCATTTGTCAGGTCTACTTGAGACCAACCTTGCCCTCAAGGTTGACCGACTTCACCATTTTCCTGCCTTGATTGCGTGATTCGCGAGTCTATTCCTCCGTGACCTGCGCTTCCTTTTCTTCCAATTCAATTCGACCGGTCGCTTAACATCAGCAGCCCTCATGAGTCTCACCTTAGTCTAATTCCCTAGACTGACCCAACTTGCGTCCAATCCAAGTTAATTGGCCCTTCCAAAGCTTACTTTTATCCATTGGCCCAAGCCCTCTTTGGAGACTCAACCCATTAGTTTCTTGCAGTAGGCTTTCATTTTTCCTGCTCGGCCCATTAACTAGTAAGTACTCGGCCCACATAAATGTCATCCTTGGCATGTTCATTAGCTCTTGTTCGGCCCTCTTTTCTTCAATCTTCTGTCTGTTTGGCTGATCTGCATAAACCATTGTGTCTGGCTCGACGCCATAGAGAAGAGCCCACGTCAAGTTGCTCATGTATGGCCCAAGAATTAGCCCTCGACCCAGGGAGAGCGCAGATGACTTAGGGTTTGCGAAAGGGAGGAACCCGTTGCCGTCGCCGCTGCTGCCGCTCCTCTTCCTCATTTCTCCCTCCTACCGCGGATGACCCACCCTCTTCTCCAACCTCGCCGCACCTTTGTCGCACGCCCTCGATCTCTTCTCTCCTCCGCTCGACGTCACGACGGGATATGATGCCAATAGTCGCGATCCGCGCGCGACTCGAAGTTCCGGCGAGTCAAGCCCACGACGCGACATCGTCCTGTTCTCTGACGATGAGCTTCCTTCCCGTCGTGGTGCCGCCACCGATTTCGGCTCCAGCGAACCCACTCGGTGACCCTTTGCCTCAACTGACACTGCCATTACTCGCACAGACAGAGCCGTCGCGCTGGGCTTCTTCTCCGTCTTCTCGTTCGTCGTCGTCGTCGGCTTTGTCTTCATGTCCAAGATCGCCACGAAGCCAGTCGTTCCGTCGACGAGTAGAGGATTTTGCTGCGGTGGTGTGCCTGCGCCAAGTGAACCTCGGAGCTTCTTGTCATCTCAGAGATCAGGGCGGCAGGGAAGGACAGTGCTCCGTTCGTGGTGGCTATCACAACGGGTACCTGCTTCGCCAACCTCTCGTTCCCGATCGATGCCGTTTGTGATGGGCGACAGCTCAAGGGCGCTTTGTTCCCCTCTATCGCGCTCCTCGCCTATCCTTTGATTCTTTTTTCGGTACCTCCAGTTCTCCTCGCGTTCCAGCCTGATCTTTCTCACCGTGTTTTGCGCCCGGAATTGCCCTTCAAAGCCAATTGCGTCTTCCTTGTCAAACCCAGCGGCCGGAAAGACACGATTTCCTTCTTCTTCGACCACCGCAAGGACAATTGTCTTGGGAACTGTCTTCTGAATGGAATGATGGAGACTTTGGCAGCAAGTGGTGGCGGTTGAGGTGCGAGCACCTTCCTCCGCTAGGCGTACGTGCGCTCTACTGCCGTCGTTAGGGTGCCAGAGTTGACTTGCAAGCTATCGCGTATAGCTTGAAGTTTTGCCTCCAACAGTTGCCGGCAGGTCTGTTGTTTGAGGTTGAAGGACTTAATCCTTTGTTGAGTTTTATCAAAAAAGATTATAGAACTCGTCCCGGTTGAGAGTTGTGATGACTAATGAACTCATATTCGTAACCGGAGCTCTGATACCAATTGTTAGAAACATAGCTTTTAACGGGTTATTGGATTGGATCGACATTTAGGATTTTAGAAGAGAATTGGGGATTTAGGAATTAGAAGATAGAAATAGGGATTGAAATTGAGAATTTTAGGGAAGAAGTAGAATAGAAAGATAGAATCGGTCGAAGCCTTAGAGGGACAAAGATTGAGAAATCAAAGGATAGAGGATTAGGGCTTTGGGACGTACTTTTCGAATAATTGTTATTGCTTGCTTGATAATGAAACCCAAATTACATATTTGTAGGAAAGATAGAAAAACCTAATAATAAACCTCATTCTACTAAAAGACTACTAAACTTATTTATCAATACCCTAATAATAATAACAGAAACCCTAAAGGAATAGGTTTCTATCAAATGCTCACAAGCTTTGGGCGCCAGTGAACATGAAGTTGTGAGTGTCCTCGACTGCGTTGTCAATCACCTCGTCCCCGCTACCTGAATTCCCCTTATAGAGATTAATGATCTTCTCCGCCACCTCCGCTCAACTGTTGCTTTCTGCCACTAACCACTCCACTTGTGTTCTTGGTAGCCTAACCTTCAAGCGCATAGGGTCGCTGTCGTCCTTGGTGCCTCAAACGCATGACATGGAGATCCGACATAGATTGATTGGACAACATTAAGACACTAGCTTTTACCCGACCCGTTGACCGGTAACTTTTTTATTTATTTTATATCCTATTAAATTGTATTTTCGTTGCCTCGCTCTCAATTCTCAATTACTTAAAAGTGTACGATGGCAAGTCGAGTAGTTTGGCTTGGGGAGTATATGGGCATTGGGCCGTGTTTGGGCCGGCACGCTTCGGGCCCGTTTATTTCGTGCCGTGCTTGGCACGGTCCGTCAGTTTTCGTGTCGTGCCGTGTCAGCCCATTTGTTGATTTTTGCTAGGCCCGGGCACGGTTTTCATCGTGCCGTGCTTATTCGTGCTCGTGTCATGCTTATATTCGTGTTTAATGAAAATAAAGAAAATAAAAGAGAAAATAAAAAAGAAGTAATAAATTGGACGGAGAATGAAAGTATTAAATTATTTATGAATTAACTACGCAGGTCTAAGATGAACAATTTATTAATTTTGTCACTCTTTGTTAACTAATGAAAGTTAGGGTCCAATACTAAAAATATGGTATTTAATTCACCAACAACTTCCACATATCACAACAATAAACCCGCAAAGAAAACAAAACCATGTTCTCTCCCGATAAATCAATGGTCTTGCCTACCTATTAGAGATTAGGGGTGGGCATTAGGTTCGGTTTTACCGAACCGAACCGAACAAAAAACCGACCGAACCGAGATATATACATTTAGGTTCGGAATTCGGGCATAAATGTAGTGTATTTCGGAAACCAGACGTATTTGAACCGAACCGAATTACCGAAATCACCGACCGAATTCCGAAATAATAACCAGCCCAAGACCCAAGTGCCCAACCCACTAGCCTACCCAGCACCTCCCCAGCCCAATACTCGGCCCACGCCTATCCTAGTATCCCACAATTGAATTGGGCGGGCCTCACTCCTCAGCCCAACCCACTAGTCTCTAACCCTAGGTCAGGACTCAGGAGATTGAATCCTCTCCTCTCCTCGTCTCCTCTCCTCCTCGCACTCGCAGACAGACACAGACCGCACTCCGCAGTCGCACTCGCAGACCTCGCCCCTCGGCGGCTCGGTCCTCGGAATCGCGAACTCGAAGCAAGCAGCAGCTCTCCTCGACACTCGACAGGCGGCGACTCGCCGCGCCGACTCCTCCTCCTCGGCAGACGGCAAGCGGCGACTCCACTCCTCCTCGGCAGGCGGCAGCTCAGCCCTCAGGGCTCGACCTCTCCAGTCCAGACCTCCGACTCCTCCGCGGCCCGCGCCGTTTCCCTGACAGCCCGACGCCGACGCCGTTTGCCCGACAGTCCTCCCCGGCGTCCCCGCCATTGCCACGCCCACCAGCCACCGAGTCTCCTACACTCCAAGTCTCCAACAGGTCCGAGTCCGAAGTCCAGAATCCAAACCCAATCGACATGACTGCCTCCACGAGTCGGAAACCGAGCAAACAGAAGAATGTTGGTGGCGCCACCAACACCAATACCGACAGTCAACAAATTCCAGTTGAGGAAGTCCATGTTTCGGTAGGTTTAGTGTAAATTTTTTTATAGTTAAATTGTATGGACCTAATTGTATGTTGGAGTGTTGGTTTAGTGTAACATGGAATTGGTGCAGAATCACCTAGTTAGATTAGATGCTGGCTGCCCTATGTAATTTTTTTATTATTGGTGTTGATTGTGTTCAATTGTTGATTGTGTAATGTGTAGGAAAAGGATTCATCGGCCGGTGATGCTCCCGTGGAGGTGGAGGGAGCTGCTGCCCGTCCCGGCTCTACTACAAAAAAAAAATCTAAAACCAAAAAGAAAGGAAATGAAGTCAAGAGCTGTGTGTTGGACTCAATTCACAAAGTTCAATGCCCCGGACGGTTACAAGATGTCAAGGTGTATGAAGTGTGGGAAGGAGTATGAGGCCGATCCATTTCTTAATGGAACCAATGCGATGAATGTTCATATGCGAAAAGGTTGTGGTGACGAAAAAGGTACTACTCAACAACTATTGAACTTAGGAAAAACTGGGGTAGAAGGTGTGGGTACTTTAACGAACTGGAAGTTTGATCAAGAAGCTACTAGAAAAGGATTAGCTTACATGCTCATTGTTGATGAAAAACCATTCAAGTTCGTTGATGGGATGGGGTTTAAGTACTTCATGTCACTATGCTGCCCTATGTTCAATATTCCTTCTAGAAGAACAATTACTAGGGATTGCTTTGCCTTCTATAGTGAAATGAAAGACAAGTTGAAAAGGTTTTTTCAAAGTTGTGAAGGAAGAATTTGTTTGACTACTGATGCATGGACTTCAAACAAGCAAGATAGTTTTATGTGCTTAACTGCACATTTCATTGATCAAGATTGGAAATTGAGAAAGAAGATCATCAATTTTGGGGAACTTAAGGGTCATAAAGGTGTAGATATTGCTGATGGCATTGTTGCTTGTTTGGATGATTGGGGAATTGACAAGGTCTTCACAATTACTGTGGATAATGCTAGCTCTAATGATACAGCTGTGGCCAAATTGAAGGAAGTTTTTAATGTTAGAGGCACTAGTATATGTGATAGTGAATTCCTTCACATGAGATGTGTAGCTCACATATTAAATTTGGTTGTTTCTGATGGGCTTGGAGATATTTCATTGTCGGTGAAGAGAATTCGGGAAGCAGTGAGGTTTATTAGAAACTCACCAGAAAGGTTGAAAAAATTTCATGAGTTTGCTACTGTTCAAAAGGTAGAAGGCAAGCGTGGCTTGTGTCTTGATGTTCCTACTAGATGGAACTCGACATTCTTGATGTTGCAGGCTGCTGAGAGGTATGAAAAGGTGTTCAAGATGTTTGACATGTATGATGACCATTATCGAAAGGATTTGGAAAGCAGGAAGGATAGACATGGCATAATTGGAGTCCCGGAGAAGGATGATTGGGAGAATGCAAGGAGGATGATGGGGTTTCTTGGTCGGTTCTACGACTTCACCTTGAAGATCTCGGGCTCAAAGTATACCACTTCTAACTTGTTCTTACAGGAAGTGCATTCCCTATATCATTTGATAAACAAGTGGGAGACGGAAGTTGATAAAGATGTCGACTTGAGTATCATGGCAACCAAGATGAAGACGAAGTACGAGAAGTATTGGGGAGATGTGGATAAAATGAACAAGCTACTTTACATCTCCACTGTGATGGATCCGAGGTACAAGATGGGTTTTGTCGACTTTGCTTTGAAAAGGGTGTATCCTGAGGGTGGCAAGGGAGCACGTATGGCTGGGGATGTGAAGACCGCTACATTTGATCTATTTGCTCACTATGAACAGCTTTGGAAGGCAAAACAAAGCAAGAATGCCTCTACTTCTTTGGCCCCAATTGTGGAGGAGTGTAATGCTGATGAGCTTGATCTACTTGCTGAATACAGAAAGCATAGAGAGCAAATTGTAGGGGCGGTAAACAAATCCGAGCTTGAGAAATACCTTCGTGAGGAAGACGAGCCAATGGTGCTCAAATTTGATGTACTAGGTTGGTGGAAGGTTAACAGCTTGAGGTTTCCTGCCCTTTCCATGATGGCTAAGGATGTTCTAGCGGTTCCAATCTCTACCGTTGCATCTGAATCTGCCTTTAGTGCTGGTGGGAGGATTCTAGATGATTTCAGAAGTTCATTGACTCCTAAGATTGTAGAGGCTTTAATTTGTAGCTCGGATTGGATTCGAGGTGATTCTGCACCACCATCAATCGAGGAGGATCCAGAAGAGGTTGAGAAAATAGATGAAGGTGAAGTTTCAAATTTAGCATTACATATTTATAACATGATTAATTTTTATGTCATGACTAATTTTGAGTCTTTTAATCATACAGAATTGGACAAGTTGATGAATGCAATCTCTATAAGAGATAATCTAGTTTCATCTACCTCGACTTCCAATGTACCGAGTGGGAGGAGGAACGATGGCAGTGCATCCAGTAGTGCTTGTGGTGATACTTCTGATGTTTCTATGCATGGTTGATGACTTCAAAGGTAAGAACTAATTATTTTATTCTACTTGGTTACTTGTGATTAGCTCTAAACTTATTAATCACTAACCATCACTGTTTTGTGTTTATTGTACTATTTTCGAATTCAAAGGTGTCAATTGTCCAAGAGGGAAGAGCCAAGAAGCACGACCTTTGGAGTTTGTACAAGTTATGCTTGGAATTTAGACATTGGCTACCTTTCTCTTATTAGTTTGAACTTAGAACCATTTGTTTTGTAATGAATATTTGGATTTGGAAGAACTTGATGCAATGTAATGTGTTGAATTGAATGTGCTTGATTTATTTTCCAACTTGATGTAATGTGTAGGTGGACAATTGATTTATCTTCCAACTTTAAATGCTTGTTTTAATTAATTGTATTTGATAGACATGTGAAATGACAGGTGGAAATTTATAAATGAAATGGCAGCAGTGAGTAGCCCCCCATGCCAAATTTCCATGGTGAAAATGTAGTGTAGGGGTGGGCACAGCAGCGGAGCAGCCAGCCAGCCCCATTTCCAGAATGCACAAACAGGGGCAGCACAGCAGCATGCAAAATCTCCACAGCAAGAGAATTCGGTTTTGGCCATTCGAACCGAACCGAACCGAGTTGTAATTCGGTTGGTGTGTTGGACGTTTCGGAAACTCGGTATGTGGTGGTTCGGTTCGGTTCAAACCGAACCGACCGAACGCCCACCCCTATTAGAGATGGGCAATGGGTTGATCAACCGCTAAACCCACCCGAACCCACCGATTATGACCCGCCCATTACATGTTTGGGTTGATGTGGTGGATGGGTGTGAGTCAACTTTTTTGTCACTCACTAAACTTGGGTGGGTGACGGGTGGGTCATTACCCGCAAAATCACATGATATGTTTAGTCACTAATGCACATTCTATAATAAGATACTATATTTTCTTATCTCAAAACTTTAATCATGACTGATTCAATTAAATTACAATTAACTTTATAATTTTTACTTGATGTATACTATAAATTTGATTATTTTAAAATATGAAAGCTATCACTAAAATAATTTTTGTTCGCAAATGAGATAATAGGTGTTATATATGCAATAAACTATGTTTAATATTTCTAAATTTTCTTAATATGTAGTATTGATATTAAATTATTTTTATGCAAATTTTTATGACTCATCATTATCTAATATTTAAAAATCATTTGACCCATCAAAATCGTCAAATTCACCCATCATTCGCTGTCACCCACCCACAACGAAAACAATGGATGGGTGGATTTTAAGTAAAAAATTAGTTTTTACCCCACCCATTGATCGATTGATTTGAGTTCATTTCTTATTATGTTAACTAACTATCTATATTTTAAATAATTTGGGACTTCTCAGAAACTTAAACATAATTTAAAAGTAATATTTGTCTGAACTTATTCCTCTGCCGATCAACAGCTTTCCTTGCTCCTCAGCTCGCTATAGCCACCAGCGGGAGAGGAAGAAGATTAACATGTTCCTTCTGTTCATCATGCTGCAAGGTGGTGTGAAAAATAAAAGAACTCCAAATATTTGAGTTGTTTGGGTCCCTTCGCAAAAAAATTGACAATTGCTGCATATTCCGCCCTCTCTTCAACCCCTCCATATATTATATTTACTCTTCTTCCTGATTACCCAATATATAACTTGACTTTTTCACAAAACCTAACCCCGACTACTTAAATTGAAACCAAATAAAGATAACAACATAAATTGAAGGGAGCAAATTTTGGTATGTAGTTACCATTGCGGGATAAAAAGGAAGGCAGGAGCAAAGATAGCATACTTCTTGGTGCGCCGGATAAGTGTTAGGACCTACTAAAATTCAAAAAGAGTTTAACATCCGCGCTAACACATACCAGAAGCATTCCGGCTTTCCAAATTGCTCGTCCAAAAAAATACTCTCCATCCAGAAAATATTAAATGGCGGTGACAATTTTCTAATTCTACTATAAATTATTATGTAGATTATTAACTAATTCCCACAACCATTAAGAAAATCCTAGTGCACAGCTTTTTGAATGGCACAATAAACATTTAAAGTATAAAAATATTACACCGGGTGAAAGGAAGTTGGCCAAAGATAAAATTCATAACATAAGCGTTCTACGTACACCAATCTCAAACATCTGTTACTTCTCATTAGTTCTTGTTTGTGACCCATATAAAATATTTGTATAAATACATTTTTTTGCAATACGTGTGTATTAATCAGTGTAGTACTATCCTATTTTAACAAAATTCACAATAACAATATGATTATAACTAATTTCTTGTGACAAATATCCTTCCAATTTTATCTCTGGATGCAGGAATTTTAAAATGAGACTTCATCTTTTCCATTCCACATTAAAAGTAAGCTAGATAAGTGCACCAGCTTGTTGGGTGGATTACTAAGAATTTGAACACAATGCACCTATAGTTTGAATGCTATGTTTCTATAATCAATTCAAATGATCGTATAAACTCATTCATTGCAAGTAGGATAAAGAATACAGATCAATGTTTGGCATGATCTTGGGTTTCATGTTTATGGAGACACTCATTCGTATTTTGCTATCTGTTTCAATTGTCCACCATTGGTTAAGCACCTTATAAATTTGCATACTCAAATTGATATAATTAGTTATATTCTTTACAATGGAAGATAAAAATATGCCAGATGTTGAAAGATGATTCTACTGATATTCTTCGACTAAACTGCAGCTTAAGCTCTTTTGTTCAGCTTCAATTCTTTTCTGTATAACCATTTACTTCTTCTATGTTTCCCTGTCCTTTTTCCTTCTTCGTCCTTTAGCCCTTTTCACCTACCCCGATTTCATTCTCAATGAAAGTCCCAATAACAAAACATAACCTTTGTACTTTATGACATTAAAAATTAAATTACCTTAATACATTCATCTTAAAGAATGATGCGTTGGATACATTCTCTAATAACAGTAAAAGATTAGGTTTAGAAAAACTAATCAGCTCCAGTTGTACACAATGATACATCTTCGTCCTTGTTGGAGGAAGACAAATGGGAATTTTGAAACAAAACCCAACCTATAAAAGTAGAGATTCCAATCGATCTATTCTGAAGAAACCATGCTGAAAACAGGCAATCCAATATAAAAAACATATATCAAGGAAGACTTCAACTCAGACCACCTGTCAATTAGCAATTTTGAAGAACAAAACCTTGGACAAAATCACCAAACTTAAGGGAAAAGCTTTGCTCTATTATATCAACAAATCCCCTAAGATCATACTGAAATTAAAAAACAATGAAGCCATGAAAAGAAATTATACCAGTTCTGAGAAGTGGGAAGTCCAAGCTTCTGTTCGACATGAACACATAGATAAGCATCTTATCCTTTTCCGCGCAGAATCTCACCACCCTGACCAGACTCACGTGCACTTCCATCCATCTCAATCAATTGAGATGAAAGTATAAGCAACATGCCAAATCCATTATGATTGCATAAGTTTTAATACGAAAGGAAGAAAAGGCAAGCATCAATGGTTACCTGCATGGGAGAGCTCAAAGGTCCTAGTTACTGGCATTCCCCAACTGGAATGCAATAAAAGCAGTGAGTCTCATCTCCATGGTGTAAGAAGATTCCACTCTAATCGTGTCCACCCCTTCGAATTTGATCTGAGTCAAAACCAGAGTGAAGCAATTCTCACGTAAGTTGCATTATACTTCGCTAGACCTCCAAATCTGTAGTTCCACTACCCTTGCTGGTACATCATAGTAGATCGCCTACAAATTGTAGAAGCAAACCTAATGGGTAAACCATAAATCCCTAGCTACAAACAAAACCAAAGCATATAACCTATAATGCTAGCGACCATTATAAGCAGAATGTGTTTCTATATTGCTAGCGACCATTATAAACTATACTTCTAGCAAAACAAAAGAAAAGTGGAAATCACCAACATGAATCAAAATGGGCTTGCTTCAAATCTGAATCGCCACTACCCAGCCAGGTTGACGTTGGCTTTTGCTTCCCTATCATGCTTGCTTCATCACCGACAGCAAATGCCGATCGAATGGCAAGCAGAAACCAAGTCATATGTGTTTATAGACCCCATAAGTTGACACTTGCAGCCAAATGCATGACATGCTTAAAATCAAGTCATATGTGTTTCTTTTCCTACTGAGTTCAAGAGTAAATGGTGTGAGATGGAGGATGGAAGTTGACCTTTTGATTCTGCAAGAAGTGGAGGCAATATGAAATAGTGCTTCTGTTAGATGATGAACCCGTTCCGATTAATTCTGTAGCTGCCACCAAGAGGAAATAATGGAACTGTTAGTACAGAAACTAAAATCCTCGACCATCATAAACTAATCAAAATCGAACTCTACGTTCGCCAATGAGCAAGGATAAATGAAATTCTAGATTTTCAAAACACCAAACGTTCTATAAATCATCAACAGAATGTAACCTTAACTCCAAACAAATGAGTCTGTGGAAGACCTTCTAATTTGTGAATTACACTAAGGACAGGGTCCAGCAAAATGTTGTACTTCTCCACTCTGCCCTTCTTTGCCCTGTAATCACCCAGAACAGCAACTCTTACTTGCGAACTTAGCATTCAGCGTTTGACCGGAAAAGTAAGCTGAAACCACACATCCAAATCGATACAAATACCCCCCCTCCAATTTCATCAGAAACCAATACAGTCCAGACCCAGTTCTCCAAAACTTAAGGGATAATCACATACAACGGTAACAAAAAAAGGACCAATTATGATTTTTAAGCTAATAAGAAAGAGGGGGAAAACCGATGGCTTGAGAATGATGGGGGCGCCCTCCACGGATGCGAGTAGCTGGAGCGATTTGGAGCCAAATTATGGACAGGCTGAAGTAGAGAAGAGAGAATAAGCAGGGTTCGTGACGTCGACAGTAGTTACCATGAAAACCCTCTCAGTGGTTTTGTTTCTTCTGTGCGTACATCGACATCGTTAATCTTGTCCGGCATTTGTACACTGTCTGCTGCAGCAATCGACAGAGAAGATAGCAGCGAATCTCTGGAGGTAATCTGGAACCTGCGGTGGAGGTGGGCTGGCTGCCGGAGATTAAAGTCGCACTCGTCAATAACCTCTCCGCCGCCGAGATCGTCCGCGGTACTCCCAATCGCGATCTTCCCACTCCCAAGGACTTCCGTCTGCGAGTGGGGTCGTCGACTTGCTTATAATTAGGGTTTTCGATTTGTTTGAAATTGGGAATAGGATGAGATTTCTTATGCGAGTTATTGTGCTTCTCGCCGTAGGGGACAACCTCAATCAAATCTGTAAAACAGTTAAAGGGTAAGAAACCTCATCTTCCATTCCTTCCGCAGATCGATTCTGTAAAAGGGTAAGCAGCCTCCTTCCTTCTCCTTCCTTTCACCTTTCCCCCTCTCTCTCTGTAATATGCCTGCAATTGCTCTTCCCTTTCCGTGACTTTCTTCTCTCTCTTAATAACCAGTATAAAAGGTGGGCTTATTTCACCCAAACAAAAAATAAATGAATATTATATGACAACGTGGGAAACGGAGAAAAGGTGGGTAGTGGACTGTTTGTTAGTTCTGCAATCAGGTGGGGACTCTTATTTTTTTTCCCGCTTAACACTCTGCCACATCAGCTTCCTAAAATCACTCTATGGGCAGGAAAATTTGAATGGGGGTGCAGTTTTACTTTTCAGCTATAAATTATACTGTAGATTGAGGCAGCCCTGGCACTGACATGTATCTCGGAAAATACAGAACGACAAAAACCCATAAAATATAGATTTGTGTAAGGATTTTTATTGAAGAATATGGCAAAAGAGAGAAAGAATGGAGGAAGAACAAAGGAAAGGAAAGAGTTTTAAGTTCTATAGAGCTACATCTATTACAGGAAGGGGGAAGTAGTTGTTCCTGTATTCATTGCTAAAAAGATGCCCAATCATAGGTGGACATCACTATTTATACATTGGCCCACTTTCATACACTTCACCAATTGACAACTGGCTTGAGTTGTTACAAACCTGTCTCCTTTAGATACAGATTGTCCTCCAGTTGAACTGCTTCAAGACGGAAAGAGGGAAATTATTCCTTGAAATTGGAAAGATCTTCCCAACTAGCCTCCTCTGGTGTCTGATGGGTCCATAACACGAAGACTTGCGTCACAACTTGGTTTGCTTGATTCACAAATCATTGGGCCAGAATATGAGCGGGTGCGAGCTTCAAGGTGCCACCGTCATCATGTTTAGGAAGTTGCGGAGTAGCAGGGGGAACTTCGACATGCACAACTTCAGTAGGGAAACATGAAACACATGATGTACCTTCGAACCCTTTGGTAATAGTAGCTTGTAAGCCGCATTTCCCACCCTTTCAAGCCCCTTACAGGGATCAAAGTAACGAGCTCCAAGTTTGTTCCCATGGCGTCCCACCACTGATCCCTGTCGAATTGCCTCTGATTTGCATACTGCTTTTGCCTGCTTTGAGATTTCGTGGTGTTGTGTGTCAAGAATTGCACTAGTTGCTGTTGTTTCTTCATACGATCTTTGACAACACCCACAGAGGTCGTAAGGTTGTGAGCTAGCTCAAAAAATGTGGGTGTTATAACACCACTCGGCGAGTGTAAGCCATGCATCCCGAGTGACCAGTTGAAAATGACGATAGAACTGAGCCTTGAGACGTTGGTAAGTAACCTGTGCACCCGAGTGACCACCAACTGGGGAAGAATGTAACAAATGAAGTAATTTGGTTCTCATGAACCCTGAAGAACCAACCACAGTCGCACCTTCATATATGAGAGCACTAGCTCAAAATGACCATAATGAGGGTCCATGGGAACTTATTGCAACTGTTGCTATCAAGTTTGGCATCTCTGAATCATTTGCATAGGTCTACTCAATCTCCACCAACCATTTTGAAAGTACAGTAAACATAACATTGCACCATGGTATCTTCCCTAAATCATCTCTAAATCATCTTCGAATACTCGAGACAAGGCATTAGCAGCTCCATGGTATCTTCCTTTTCTGTATCTAATTTGAAAATCAAGCCCCATTAACTTGACGGGGCCTTTCTTTTGTATGCAGTATGAACCTATTGTCCAAGTAAAAATTGCAGTCTCTCATGGTCTGTAACAATAGTAAATGGTAGACCATCAAGAATCAACCGCCATCAGCACAACCAAGTAGTCTTTTTCATACGTTCTTAGACATTGATTCCTTATACCCAAAGCCTTACTAAAATAATCCAGAGGCCTTCCTTCTTGAGACAATACAGCCCACACCCCTGTACGGAAAACATCTGTTTCCAAGAACATGGACCTTACTCATGGTCGACTTTAATGTGACAAAAGCTTCCTCAACTACAGAGTTCCACTGAAACCATTATTCTTTAAAAGCTCAGTTAAAAGCCGACTTATTATGCCATAGTTCCTTACAAATTTTTTATAGTAACTCGTCAAACACAGAAAAACCCTCAGACCATTAACTAACTGAGGTCGTGGCCAATTCTTCATTGCTGCCACTTTATTTTGGTATGTGGATACTCCCTCCTCATTGATAATTTGGCCCAAGTATTCCACGAAAGGCTGACCAAATGAGTACTTCGCTTCTTTGACAAACAACTTATGGTCCCTCAATAGTTACAGAGCTATAGAGAGATGTTGTAGGTTAGCCTTTGCACACTGACTGTTGACTTAAATATCATAAAAAAGCAAGATGAACTGCCTCAGATACTTGCCAAAAACATGGTTCATAAGTGCTTGAAATGTTTCAGGAGCGCTAGTCAACCCAAAGGGCATGACTCTGAACTCGTAATGACCTTGATGAGTTTGAAAAAGCAGTCTCAAACTGATCATTTGGGTGCATTTTGATATGTGATACCCTGCTCCGGATCCAACTTTGAAAAAATGACAACTCCATGTAATTCATCAAGAAGATCTTCAATATGTGGGATAGGGAATTTGTATTCGATGGTGGCAGAATTTAACTCACTATAATCGAGACAAAACTACCAAGTGCCATCTTTCTTACAAATAAGAAGGATAGGAGAGGCATATGGACTGTGACTCTTTTGGATGAATTCAGACTGCAACATTTTAGCCACAAATTTTTCTGCCATAGCCTTCTGATGATGAGAAAAATGGTATGGGCGAATGTTAATAGGTTTGGTGTTAGGCAATAAGGGAATAGAGTGACCAAAAGCACTGAGAGGAGGTAGAGAAGTGAGGGTAGCAAAAATATCAGAGAACTTGGAAACAAGAGTTTGTAGGAAGTCAGGGGTAGAACTAGGCGTTGGTATGGCTTCAAGGGAAAAAAAAAGTTCCAGTGAGATCGGTAACTTGCTTCTTAAGGAGCAATCGAAAAGTTCGACCAATCATCATCTTGCAGTGTCAAAATTCTTCCTTTCCAATCAAAAGGTAACTGCGTTTCTTCAGATCAACCTAAAATGGGGTTATTCTCTCTAACCAAACCCATCCAAGCACTAAATCGTGGGTAGGTAAATCGAGAGTTTGAACATCAAAATCAAACTCCTAGCCTTGTATCTTCCAATTAAATCCTCTACAAACTGAATTACTCAACAAAGTATGGCCACTAACTACCTTAACTCGCATGGGAGCAATACTCTTTGTTTGACAGTTCAATTCCTCTGCCCTAATAGAGTTAAGGAATGTATGAAAAGTTAAAAACTACCAATGTCAATCAAAAAAGCTACCTCACACCTTCTCGTTGTGGTTGGAATGAGCACATAATTGCCAGAAAAGGCAGTGCCCATAGTTTGCAAGGAAATCTCCAATTCAGCATCCTGAAACTCATCATCCATATCGCCCTCGTCACTGTGAGACCGAGAATCATCTGCTTGCATCATTTGGAGTTGTTTTTTCTTGTACAAACATGGGCATGGAAGTATTTGTCGCCGCACTTATAGCAAAGTCCTTGCTTGGCCCAGAGGAACGGAACTCTTCTTAGTGAAACTCGACGAAGGTAGTGGCGCCTCCCTCTGAAAAGACTTAATAGACAAAGCTCATGCCGGAGCTGCCAATGAGTAGTGGAAGCAGAGCGCGTCTTCCTATTCCAGGCCTCAATGCAGATTCCTCCTGACATGTTTGATAAAAAGCACAAGCAAGAGTAGGGGGATTAAGCACATGAACGCGCGGTTGAATCTCGTCGTCTAGATCCCAAAAAAACTAAGGATGAAATAGTGCTCGTTGAGATAAGGATTTAGTCGAAGTATTCGCAAACAGAGGCCAGGGATTGGCTGTTTAATTTTTGTTTAAGGAATTTTTATATTTTGATTTAACTTTGATTAAAAATAATATGATGTGTCAATGACGTGCCATCTATGTAACTGTATACTTTCTAAAAAAGCCACATCAACAAAATTCAACATAACTTTGACCATCCTCTCGTCAATCGTTATTTAATATTTATAAGTTATAACAGTCAACGAAAGCTTCAGGATATATACAAATGTCACAAAACCATCATACGTCGAGATATGAATGCAATATTGGATGAAATAGGATACAAGTGATTTTTTTAGTTTTTTTTTATTATAATTCGGGTGTTGTAGACTTGTAGTGGAAGTAATCCTATATAAAATGAGAGGAGGGTGTAGTAGTCCTATCTTTACTTTACTGCATCTAGGGGTGAGCAATGATCTGGTCAACCCCAGACCGAATCGTCGGATAAGATCATATCAAATATATTATGATTTGGTTTCGATCCTTTGAATTATTTTAAGTATGAAGAAAAATAGAACTAAGGTGAATTTGGACAGGATTGAATCAAACCTAATGGACCAAATAGGCTTTTGATCCAATTCTGATCCTCTTTTTTTTAGTTTGGTCCGATCCAATCCGGTTATGGACTAAATCGACCATACCCACCCGTAACCGGCAACTGCAGCTAGTGATGGCAATGGGGTGGGGCGGGGCGGGTACCTCAATTCCCATGCCCCGTTCCACGCTACTATGGGTGGGGCGGGTAAAATCCGTGCGGGTACGGGGCGGGTCGGGTCGACCCACTCTTACATGTTGTTCAAAAAAATATAAGTAAATTTTACTTTTTACAATAAAACGTAGGGAAAAACACTTTAAGAATGAAAAATATTGATAATAGAATGGATAATTGAGCCTAACAAGTAGAAAGATCGACTCTAACTAGTTGAATAAAAGTCAAAATAGGAGAAATATGTATAGATATTGTAAGAAATTGAGATAAAATGAGTTTAGAACGGGGCGGGACGGGGCAGGGCGGGTCGGAAGTAGATACCCATACCCCGCCCCATGCTACTGCGGGTCGGGTAATACCCGCCCATCGCGGGTCAGATCGGGTAATACCCGCGGGGCGAGGTGAAAATTCCATCACTAGCAGCAGAGTGGCATCCCGCCCCGTCTTCGCGCAAGCCTATCTATCCATTCCAACCAAACCTAGCAGGCGCCAGGCAGCTACCTTCCTTCCTCCCTCTCACCAATTCCCTTCCTTCTTTCTGTTACTCTCCTTCCTTGTTCCCACCTGCGGAAGATTTCCAGAAGGAAAACAGTATTTGACAGCGATGGCAGAGGGGAAGCAGCAGGGATTGGTGTTGACCCCGGCTCAGAATCCGATTCAATCCTTCCAACTCAAGTACAAAGAACTGGAGGCCGGCTTCAAATCTTGGCTGTCCCAGCAGTCTATGCCCGTCGAAGCCGCCATCGTCACCGCCACCAGCGCCATCCAGGGCGGTGCCATCGGCGGCCTCATGGGTACCCTCACCGGCGACATGGCATCCCCTCTCTCCCCTCCTCCCCAGGCCTCCTTGAACCCTCAGGCCATGGCTTCTTTCAAGCAAGCCCAGGTCAGCTCTCCAATTTCTCTCCTCCTCCTTTGTAACTTTCACCAAGTTAAGTTAATTGATCAGTGGAAGTAGCGGAATTCTTCCGTCTCATTTTTAAACTGAACTGGTTCTCCAGCGACTGTGAGTGCAAGAGGCATTTTAGATTGACTCTTGCTTTCAAGTCAAGTATGTGCTATACGATTCCTTCACCATAAGCAGAGGAATAAAGGAAATGGGAAATCTGTGTAGATTAATCAACTTCTTACTTCAACTGCAGGCGCTTGCAGGTGGTCCCTTGGCTCAAGCTCGGAATTTCGCTGTCATGACAGGTGCCAATGCCGGTATTGCCTGTATCATGAAAAGAGTGAGAGGCAAGGAGGATGTCCAGACCAGGTAACCTTCTTAATTCCACCATTTACTTCTATTCTTCTCTAACACCCTTACCAATTTATTCCTGTGGTTTTCTTTTGCTCAGTGTGCAAGTTCATTTAGAATGAAAACAATATTGCTGCGTGCATACTGGTCTGTAGTGGTTTTGTAGAATTTGATTTCTGATAGTACTCACAGCAAACTGGATTTGATGCAAATATTTTATTCCAAACCAATTCGTATATCTCTGCCAGGCAACAATATATCTTCATTCGTCTCCACATCTAAGTTCATGTGGGTTCAGCATGTTAGTCACCTTTTCATGTTTTCTTCTTCTTGTCTTCTTTGAAATTCCCGGGTTCGGATAAGCTGTTGATGCTTTCATTCCTGCTTTCTGCTTCAGCTGTTGTTTTCATTTATACATGGCTTCTGGTTCTCTGCATCAGGCTTCCAAGTTCCGTGTACACACATCAGCTAATTCTTTATTTTCCTTTTCTCCCTTCCCATGTGGTGAATGTTCTGATGTTTAAACATTCAAATAGCACTGCCATTTCAAACGTCCTTTGATTTGCTGATTTTCAGTTGTAGAGTATTTGAATAGCGACTTACTGGGATTACGTCGACATGTTACTTGTTCTCTGTACATGTGATGTAATCTTATGCTTTCTATCCGGCTTCTCCTTATCTTCCTAAAACATTGTTTTCCTCTACTCATTTAACTTTGCTTGGAAGCAAAAGGGCCGATATCTTCATTAAACTTTTGAAAGCCAATAATTAGAAACTCTGCCACCAACTTAGCAGTAGTGGACAAGTTATTCCCCTACTACTTGCTCTATATTCGCCTAATGAGTTTTTTTACCAAGGATTTAATACTACTTAGCTACAACTGGGAATGATGATATTAGCCCAGTTATGCTTCTAATAATATCACATTTGTACCGTGGTTTATGATAAGACTCTGTTGCAAACATGATAATAGCTTGGCACCTGGACCTGAAAGATGTTTTGTCACAAATAGAATTAGTGATTGGTGTTTATGAAGTGGGGAGTGCTCTTTCGTGACAGTCTCATCTCATTCTCCCTGCCTTCAGTACTTAACTATGTCCATCCCTATTTGTCTCTATCTTAATTTGTTTATGAAGGGCGGGGTGCTCTTTCCCAGGTATGTACATACTACATACATTCTTCACCCCTCAATTGGACTTTGTGGGTTCATCCCGCTTTTCATTCTCACCCACTTTCTCAATACCATCTGGTCCCTTCTTTGATCATTTAAGGTTCCAGTTTTCTTATCCCCAGGTAGGTTCCCTCTTTCATTCCTGAATTTCACTGTATTTCCATAATTCACTGTGCTTATAGCTGCCTGTTGCTTCGTTCAACTGTTACGTTATGCTCTTTTTGGTGTTTGGGATGTGGAAATCTAGTGTTGCATTCTCATGAAGTCATGGCTTCTGGTTCTCTGCATCAGGCTTCCTAGGTCCATGTACACACAGGCCACAGCAGCTAATTCTTTATTTTCCCTTTCTCCCTTCCCATGTGGTGAATGTTCTGATATTTAAACATTCAAATAGCACTGCCACTTCAAAACTTCCTTTTAGTTGCTGATTCTCAATTTTAGAGTGTTTGAATAGCGACTTACTGGGATTACGTCGACATGTTACTTGTTTTCTGTACATGTGATGTAATCTTACGCTCAATTGGACTTTCTGGATTCATCCTGCTTTTCATTCTCACCCACTTTCTAAATTCCATCTGGTCCCTTCTTTGATTATTTAAGGTTCCAGCTTTCTTATCTCCAGGTAGGTTCCCTCTTTCATTACTTTAAAATAATTGATTCTAGTTGCAAACAAGCATGCCCTTTTTATTTGCGCTGCAGCATGTCGTTTTAATGTCAAGTGATCTGCCTGAAGCTCCATATTGAAGATCTTCATGAGTATATGAAGTTTCCCAGTTTTTCTTAATATTGTATAGTCATGATTATCATGAGGGCAGCCTGCATTTTTGTTGATGTGGATCCATGGAATGCCCTATGTATGTCTGCACGTTGTATGGAGCTAGAGTTGTTGCATGGAGCTAGAGTTGTAGTGGTTAAGCCTGCATTGTTTCCGTTTATGATGAGTGACGTGGTTAGTGCAGTATGGTAGCAGCATTTGGTTCAGGAGCGTTGTTTTCATTGGTGAGCGGGATGGGTAGCCCAAACCCTGCTGCAAATGCAATCTCTTCTGGATTCTTTTTTGCAATTGTTCAGGGTGGCATCTACCAGGTTAGCTCCTAGAATACTGCCAATCCTGCGCATCACAACTATACACCGACAGGAAACTAATCTTGTGTGGTTTGATTGATAACTCAGTTAGGACAGAGATTTTCTCAACCTCCAGCTGAAGATGAGTACTATGCAAGAACCCGGTCCATGCTAAATAAGCTTGGCCTCCAGAACTACGAGAAGAATTTCAAGAAGGGCTTGCTGAACGACAACACATTACCATTGCTGAACGACAGGTAAGCAGTTTATTTGCAGTCCTCCTGATAATTGTCAATTTGGCACAAATTGTCCTGTATTAATCTGATACGGTGTGTTGCAATGGGTTCTAATGTGGTGGCTTGTTTCAGTGCGCTTAGGGACGTGAGAATCCCTCCCGGGCCACGGCTGATGATTCTTGATCATATTCAGAGGTACCATCTACATATTATTAGGTTTCGTTTTTTCTTTGGCACAAAATTTTCCCCCAACTATACCTTCATAGCTGGTTGTTCCTAGCCTAAATGTACTTGTGTGTATGGACACTGTACAGGGACCCAGAGTTGAAAGAGAGGAAGATCCATCGTGGGTGAGGCTTGGTAGAATTCTGGGTGTGAATTTGCTTGGAGTTTTATGGTAGAGGCGCAGTTAGATGTGGTGCTTTGCTTTTGGTTAGATGACTTTATATTGTAATGGGTAAAGCTTGTTTCCTTTTTTTTTTTTAATGGATTTTACTACCCTGATGGAGGTTGTTTGAATGCTGGTGATGATGATATTGAGTTTGAGCATATGTGGAGCTTCTTTATTTGTTGATAATAAGCATTTCTGAGCTGCACTTTGCCACGACGAAATAAGAAAGTGAAGGAATTCCTCGACATTGGTTGGAATATAATGGGTGAATATAATAACCCTTCCTCAACCTGGTGAGTGAGAAGGGGTAAGTTTCGTCGTTACTTTCTAAGGTCTTTTCTCTAAGCAAATTCTTATTAAAACATGTTATTAGTGTTTCTATTCCTTAAATGAAAGTCGTTCTCGCTTTCATCCTTAATAACTTATTTCAACATTAGCTCATAGAATTTCTCGACTTCTATCCTTAACTCAACACAAAACACAAGGACCATCGCGTTACGTCTCGCGGTCCGGTGTCCTACTCGAGTATGCCAACCGCGTTACGTCTCGTCGTCCGATTGCATACCCAAACTCGGCAATGACACTGCGTTACGTCTCGCCGTCCAGTCCATGCCCGGTCCACTACTGCGTTACATCTCGTCGTCCAGCAGTGATCTGACCAACTACCGCGTCCAGTAGTGGCCCAACCGCCCGGGAGTTCAGTTACCATACATCCACACACATTCATACATAGCACAACGCGTGCCTCCATCTTAAGTAGGCTGTGGGATTCCTCACACACATAATCGCGCTTACTTGAAAATAACCAACATAACTGAATTAAAAGACATAAACTAAAAGACCTCGACGAAGATTTTATCTCCTTTACACTCACCTTGAAATCGTCGAAACGATCTCTAATTCTGCTATAAAAATTCCATGACTCGCTCCCATTAAATACTCCTTGTTCCCACGATTCCATAGGCGCTGACTGTTCCTCAATCGGACGTCGATTGATCGAGTTATGACCAAATAAACATCCCGTCAATTCAAAAGTACCAGGTACCGAAACTGTAATTTCCAGTCAACACTGTTGACCACGACCTCTCTGGAAAAATTACTAATTTAATCATCTACCTTTTTGAATTGTCAAGAATGGTACCTGAACTATCCGATTTGCATCCCAAACTTTCGAGGCTTGTATCTCCCTCGTCCGACGTCGAAATTCAATTCCGTCAAAACCGGGATGTTCCTGAGATAGCCCTCTTCGCTATGATACCCACCACTCAAAGAATGTTTGAAGTCGACTACGCCGGTGCCGCCGACGAACTTTCTGGTGAACCTCGAATGCCTCGCCGTCGACTACGGTTTATGAACATGGATTTGGGTTAATTTCCGATGAATCTATCTTAGGAAGCTGATTAGGGTTGCTGCATCTTACCTCCGGGCTAAGATCAGGTGACTAAGGGGGACCCCTTAGTCACATGACTAAACCAATCTTAGCCATTCAACTTCATTAAAATCTAATGGCGGAGATTAATTTAATTTAATAAAGGGTAGTGGAGAAATTTTACAATGCTATATAGTATTGATGCTATAGGATTTTGCCTTTATGGTACAACTTAAAACTGTACATTTACGTTATGGTACAATTTCATATTGTACCTATACTTTTTGTAGAAATTATTTTATGGTACAACTTGAACTTGTACATTTATGTGATGGTACAACTTCAAGTTGTAAAGTTGTACCATAACATAATGATACAAATTGCTTTATGGTACAACTTAAACTTATACATTTAATGTTATGGTACAACTTTAAGTTGTACATTAAAGCACCAATACTATATAGTATAGTAGAAGTGCTCAGGGTAGTGTGGTAATTGCAAGGCTTTTATATATTTTTAATTATTATTAAAAAACTGACTTCTTCCGTCCATCCCCACCGACCCTCCCCGGCGACGGAATTTTCGGCGTCCATCTCCCCGCCGACGGAATTCCCAGCGTCCGGCGTTTGTCTCCCCGCCCCGGCATGGAATTCCTTCCAGCGTAACTCCTCCTCCAATTCTTTTTTTTTTATTAAGACCTCCAAATCCAATTCTTTTGTTGCCGGCAGAGAGAGAGAAGACCTCCTCCAAATCCAATTCTTTTGTTGCAGAGAGAGAGAGAGAGGGAAGAGAAGAGACGTGCAAAAAAGGGAAAGGGAAGAGACGTGCAGATGGAAAAAAAAAATTCAATAATAATAAATAAAACAAAATCAAAAAATAGAAGTTAATAATTTATTAATAATGCCAAAACTACCCTTCTCATTTAATAATAATTAATAGATTTATCTGGACCATCAGATCAATCCAAAGGCTGAGGGGGGCTTAGTCAAGTGACTAAGGACCCCCCCCTTAGTCACCAGATCCGGACTCTCTTACCTCCACTGTACGTACACGAGAGAGCCCTAGTCGTTGCCGTCTAGAGGTGATGTGCGACTCGGTTGGCAATTATCGGTTTTGCTTGGATGGCGAAACGTCATGGAGATAGCAGTTGCGACGGTGCTTGTCTCTGCTTGTGGAGAGAATCTGAGAGAAAAGAGGCAAGGTGTTTGTTTGGGTCCTTGTCTCTGGAGAGAGGATCCGGTGACTAAGGGGGGTGCGTAGTCACTTGACCAAGCCCCTCCCAGCCCTTAGATCTGGACACATCAATCTGATGGTTAAAAAGTGGGAAGGGTTATTTAATTAATGACAGGGGTAGTTTGGGTATTATAGAAAATTACGAAGTATACAAACCAGACTTACAATCAGTACAAACCATACAAACATACGAACAATACAAACTAGAGCGACAAAACATACAAACAGATTTACAAACATTACAAACATATGAACTGTACAAAAAATACAAACTAGACCGGCAAACAATACAAACCATACAAAAAGAAAAAACAACCAAGTTGACTTTGGAGACTCCATCCCTATATAGAGGGGCTTCTTCCCAAAGTCAACCCGGGTGTTTTTTAGTCATACAAACACGGTGGACAAAAATGACCAACTAGACCAAAAATTCATACAAACTGGAAAAACACCCGGGTTGACTTTGGAGGCTTCATCCCTATATAGAGGAGTTCCATCCAAAAGTCAACCAGGTTGTTTTTTAGACATAAAAAATATTACAAACATGGTTGACAAAAATGATAAACATGGTGCACAAAAATAACAAAGCTTACAAACATTACAAAAGAAACCCACAAACATTACAAAATAACAAAGTTTACAAACATTACAAAATAAACCGACAAATATCACAAATCCAACACTATCGCTGGAAAAACCTTCTCCAGTCGCCGGAAAAGTCTCCTCCGGTCAGTAGAAAAAATCTCTCTCTCTCTCTCGTTGCATTTGGGGAAAAATTCCCCAGCCAAAGGAATAAATATGGCAGTGGCAGGGGGATTATTCCCGGCGGCAGCAAAGGAATAAAAATGCGTGGCCGGTGGATTATTCCCATTACCGGCACCGCCGAAGCAGTAAAAGTGTCCGGGGGGCGAGAGTAAAGGTAAGCCGGCAGAGGGAATACGACGGGGCGAGAGCAAAGGTAAGCCGGCGGAGGGAATACGAGCGGCACGGCCACGCTATTTTTTAATTAATTAATAATTGAAAAATAATAAAGTCATGCAATTACTATATTGTCCTTCATTAAATTGGATTAATCTGAGCCTTTAGATTGAAATGGGGTTGGATGGCAAAGATGCACTTAGTCACATGACTAAGGGGACCCCCTTAGTCACCTGATCTTGGGCCCTTGTCTCTGTAGGTTTGTAGTGTCATTAAGGAAGAGAGAAAAATGTTTGAGTTGCTGTTGTTCCATTGAAATGGACCAAAATAATGAGGGGAGGGAAAGGTACGTAAAGTTGCTACGTACTAAATGGGGATTTAATCCTCTTCTTCCTTTTTTTACTTTCCCCTTTTTTGTTTGGATACGCAAATGATGATCACTTTAATAATAATAACAATAATGTTATTATTATTATTTCTAATTCACGGTTGCACCTCTTCGTACATAACCATTGATCCAATCGTTCATTTTTTATGGTCGAACCTGGACCCAAATATCGGGGTGTTACATTTCCTCCACCCTTATCAAAATTTCATCCTCGAAATTGGAACTGAACACTCGACCTTAGGACTAAAACGCTTTGTCTTGGTTGGGATATCACATTTCCCCACTCCTTAAGAAAAAATTTCGACCTCGAAATTTGTTCAGCATGATAACCCATAGTCTCACTTGAGGTAATCCTTCTACTACATGGATTTATACTTCCTTTAATTTCACAACCCCTTTATCGATTCTTGGTTCTAGCTTTAATACCCGAACCCAGTTCAGTAGCTCCTCGCCATTCCTCCTCGAAGATTCTACTTGCTTTCTCTGACATTTATTAGAACTTCCCTTGAACATCCTACTTTCTTGTCTTTCTTCAGCTGGCTTGATGACTTCTCTCAGGTAAGTTTCGAGGTTCTAACTCTTAACCTACCTTGGTCCGACGATGCTCCACGTGTCCTTTGTATTTTCGACCTACCGTAACTACCATAATGTGTGGGGTCTCTCGAATCCCTCCTCATTCCTCGGCTTAGTTTGCGCCACCTCTAGCTTGCACTTATTGGTTACATAGTGCACGTGCTCCAACCTCATTCTTTACATCGTTTATCTCGACGGTGATCTCCTTACTTTCCAATACCTTCTATTGGCCAAGTTCCCCAGGTCCGCGATTCCTCTTCTTAGGGCGTACTGTATCCCTAAAGGTTTCCCCAGTCGATGTGAGTACACGAATGTGCCTCCTCCTAACCTTGACTCATTTATCCCTTGAAACTTTTCATGCTCCCTATGACCTACTGAATTTCTCCTTGCTTTGCTTATGTGCCCCCTTGTGGTGCTTAAAGTCTAACCTCCAATACTCCTTGGGTCGTAGCCCTACGCTCCATTCTCGCGAAATCAATGGACCTTCCTTGCATCCTTTCCTCTCCATGTTGGCCACCATTTGCCTTAGCTCCTTGCCTACTGCCTTTCGACATCCTAGATACTTTGTCTCTGGACAACCTTATACTGATCAGCTAGCATCCTCGTAGGATATGAGATGCCTTGGACTACCTCTTCTTGCTCATGAAAAGGGGGTTCACTAAGCGATTCCCGTAGAAATTCGCTCCCTCTCCTCCCCAGGACATATCTCAATCCCGAGGGGGCCTCCTAGAGTTATTTTCCTAATCATGATTACAGTATACTGGAGATTTTAAAAGCCTCAAAAGAACCCTGACTCGTTTGACCAAAATTTAAACC